CGGCGACGAGATGACAGTGGCGGCACGGCGGTGCGTAGGCGAAGAGGATCCGATGTGTAAGGACTCTCCGCCGGTGGCAGCAGAGGATGTGTGAACAGAGCAACGATCTTGCGGACAAGCGGCGCAGCTTCGACCTCGGTGTCCACAAGTACATCAATGCCACCTGAGCGCATATGGACATCGACGGGACCGATATGTTCGTGCTCGAATCGGCCAAGGCCACCGCCCTCGATCATTGCTTGACCGCCCATGCCGATCGTGGTGGACTTCCTCAGCGGCGCATCTTTTGATCCGCCTCTGGTAGCGACGACAATGTCGCACGTTCCCAAGAATGCAGCGTTGCCCGCAAAGCAGTATCCATTCACTACTGCAACAGAAGGTATCCCTCTTGCCTTGATCTCGCCCATCAGAGCGAATGATGGCGTCTTTAGGCCCGCCATGCCCAAGTGATCGGTGTCACCTGGTCTTCCACCGCCTCCTTCGGCGTACATCACCAGTGGCACAGGATGATCAATGATTGATTGGAAGATGCGGTCTAACTTCTGATGATGGAAGTGTCCTTGCGTGCCGGCAAGGACGAGGTAGTCGCCAATGACAACTGCGACTGGATGAGAGTCTATCTTGGCCCAGCCCACGATGATACCATCCCCGCTTGTTCGAGCGATGAGATGGGACATGGGGTATCTTTTCCTCTGTGCCGCAACCACGAGGTCTCCATATTCAACGAATGAATCTTTGTCTACAAGTAAGTCGAGATTTTCCCGGCCCGTGAGGTATCCGTTCGCATGGCGCTTGGCCACGTCCTCTTCGCGGCCAGCGTACCGTAGAAAGGCCTTACGTTCGTTCAGCTCCGTCAGCTCCGGCCGCAGCTTCTCTGGGTTCTCAGTCTCGGCTAGGTCGTGTGTATTGGTAGATGAACTGTCGCCATCCGAGCGGGTGAAGAGAAGAGCATCGCCGGCATTTACTTGTTGTCCTTGCGTGACGGCCACTTTCGCCACAACACCATTGTAGGCGCTCCGGACGGAATGTTCCATCTTCATCGCCTCAAGAACGACCAATTCTTGGCCAGCAGTGATCTTGTCGCCTCCGCTCACTTTGATGGAAAGGACAACCCCCGTGACAAGTGCGAGCAGCTCTTCCGAGCCTGCAGGTCGCTCAACTTTAGCCGCATCCTCCATTAGCGAGGTAGCTTCGTCGGAGTTGCGGTCACCTTTAGCCCGCAACGCGTCTTCGAACTGCTGCGTGGCGCTGTACAGCACCTCGAAGTTCTCCTGGATGGTCAAAATGTTGCTCTTGCCCTCTTGCACGGGTTGGATATCCAGCAAAGCCATTAGGAACGCCTGATTCGTCCTGCATCCTCCGATCCTTGTCTCGTCGATGGCCCAACGAGCCAGCCGCAGTGCGGACTCATACGACGATGAGGTGACAATGAGTTTCGCCAAAAGGCTGTCGAACAAAGGGCTCACAGCATACTGTCGGCCTCCTTCAAGAGCTGTCTCGACTCGCACGCCTGCTCCCGTGGGGAAATGTCCTTGTCGAATAGTCCCCGCTTCAGGTTGCGCGGTGCCATCTTGCCTGAAAGTTTCGGCGTTGATGCGTAGCTGTATGGATGTAAGCCGAGGTGGTGGGGGTTCTCGCGTTATGTTCAGGTCTGCCAGCGTTCGTCCCAAGGCAACCTGAAGCTGTAAATCCACCAAATCAATGCCATTGATCTGTTCGGTGATGGTATGCTCGACTTGGATCCTGGGATTCGCCTCCATGAAATAATAGTCTTCGGTTGCTGCATCGACAAGGAACTCGATTGTGGCGAGACTTCGCAGCTTCACTGCTTTTCCTAGTTTCACCGCAGCCTCGATGATAGCTCGCCTAAGCCGTGGCGTAATGGAATGCGAAGGCGCAATCTCCACGACTTTCTGGTTTCTGCGCTGAAGCGAGCATTCTCTTTCCCAGAAATGGCAAACTTCTCCAGTGCCGTCTCCAAGAAGCTGGACTTCAATATGTGTAGCACCGTGCAGATATCGCTCCGCGAATAAGCTTCCAATGCCGAAGGATGCATGTGCCTCTCGCTGACAAGCTTCGTAAGCCAGGCGAATAGCTTGCTCGTCCGTATTGTCATCAATGATGCGGATGCCGCGCCCGCCGCCGCCAGCTGCGGCCTTCAGGATGATTTTGCTGGCTGGGCCCAGGCTCTTTCCAAACGCTAGTACATCCGTGATGGAAGAACCTCGATCGAGTAGGGTCTGCGTGCCATCTAGAACCGGTATACCTGCATCTGCCGCCAATGACTTCGCGCTCATCTTGTTTCCGAGTTGTGCCAACTGCTCGCTCGATGGTCCGATGAACATGATGTCTTCATCCTCGCATAGTCTCACAAACCCAGCGTCTTCGGACAAGAAACCATAGCCCGGTGCGATACCCCAGCATCCTTCTTTCTTCGCAATGTTGACAATATTGGCCGCGTCCAGATATGCACGTGGCCCTTCTCCTGGGAGCGCCACTGATGCAGTTGCAAGACGCACGTGTGTCGCATCCTTCTCAGAGGGGGTGAACAGGGCTACTGTGTGGATGCTTGAGTAGAGCGAATATGTCCTGATGAGGCGGCATGCTATCTCGGATCGATTGGCTATGAGAATCTTGATGGGTTGAGAGGAAGACATCCTGGAGGCAACCCACCAAGGCGGTCATCGACTGGAGAGCGATAGCCATCGCGTGTCACGCACATTAATGATCTTTGTCTCGTTTTCCAGGTGGCTGCAGTATTCATGAAAAGTGGACCTCAAACCCTGTTGCCCCGCCCCCTGCTCCTCGGCTTAATTCGGCAGTGTCGGCACCAGCACGCCTGTCCAGCCGACTGAGTGCTCTGACCCTACCCTTGCCCTACCCTACAGTACTGTAAGAGAACTAATCCGTAATGGCCGCCGTTCCAATGGAGCGAGGGGCTCGCCTCATTCATCCGTGAAAATCCCCCTGGAGAACACATTGGAAACGCCCGCGATTTCCACAATCGCGCAGGGCTATCTTGCATGAATGGCCCAGTTCTGCAGAGGCCACCCCATTCACAGTGCGGCCCATTTCTGGGCCTCATCACCACCTCACGCCTGCAATTATCTTTCGTGTAGAGTGAACAGAAAGCTATGACAGGCATATCTACAATTGGGCTGGCTAACGGAGTTGGGATACAAAGGTGAGTTCCCAGTTGAAAGTGAGCGGTGGCAGTGCAAATTGAGGAGAGGGTGAGCCGAAGTTGAGCCGGGCGCTATTTTGCCGACGAATTACAAATACGGCGCTAATCAAAAGACGACATGGAACGAGGTGAGTTGGTCTTAATTATCCATCTTTTGCTCGACGCGTTCACCATGGCTTCGAGGTGCCGTAGGCAGTGGCGGTGGCGCGGAGGGAAGGGTAATCGCGATTTCGGGAGGCTTCTAGAGCGTCCTCAATAACTTGCTGAGACTCAATAGCTATGTTGACACAGTTGAATAGCTGGGAATAGCGGTCCACCGGGTGGACAGATGGTGGTCGGTGGAGGAGAGAGAGATGGGCGCAGGAACGCGTCAGGTGGGGTGGCGGAGGGGTAATTGTAGAAGCGGAAGCGGAAGCGGAAGCCGTGGAACTTTCAGTGTCGCTTGAGATGATCAGTGAGGGCGGACAAGCTGAGACTGGTACGAGTAGTGTATCATCATCACCTCTTTTGGACCTCCGAAATCTAGCAGGAGCAGCAGCCGGGGGGAGGGACGGGCAAGGGACGGGGCGGGAGGGACTGGGATAGCCCTCGCTGAACCTTCAGGGAGCAAAGTGCTCGGTCTAGACTCTCTTGACTCTGGTTATATAACAACACGCACTCGTGCAACGGAGACCGTGCTGCCTCCGTCTTTGCAGGCCTTCGTCCGCTTTGGGGGGCTGCCGCTGGGGAACTTGAGGCTTCATGTCGCAAGATATAATAAATCCCAAGCGAGATGTCTCGACCTCCTCGCAAGCTCAGCATGCTCTCCACCAAAACTTTACACTTCTGCGGCGGAAAAACAAAAAAATCTTGGTCACGGTGGTTCTACGTGGTTCCGACCTGGTCCTAACGTTGGTCGGTGCTTCCGAAATGCAGCCGTGAAGGCTATAGTTTTGTGGTATCTTCAGACATTATATTAGATTATCGCTGACAGAGCAGCGCAGCCTCCCTAGTCGCGGTATCATGAAGCGCTCAACACCAAACTGATATAAACTTAGTCAAACGCTTACTTAGCGCCGGCGAGGCAGATTCCCCACCCCGACATCGTAAGATCAAGTGGTTGAGCTGTGAGGCTTAAGTTGGAGATCGAAACAACCACTGTCTTGTCAGCCAAGGATCCGAGGTGAAAAAAAAAAAAATGGCGCACATCTCGAGGTCAAAAGACTGGGCCGATTGTCAAGGCCCAGGCGAGAATTATACGAATCCACTTCAATATAGAAAGTGACAGACAACTGCAGGGACGCGAAATGTTGGACTGTGAGTTGAAGAGGTCGAAATTAGCGGAAACTGAGGCTTGACAACAACATGTGACTTCATGTGACCATATTGTGCCACCAGCAAGTTAGGTCGGCGGCTCAACTTGAGGGGTTAGATAGAGCCCAGATAGAGCCCAGATAGAGCCCAGATAGAGCCCAGATAGAGCCCAGATAGAGCCCAGATAGACGCCCAGCGTCATCGCCTGCGGCCTCCTGGCTACAAGCAGCCGTTCGTGCCACCAGGCAACCACAAAAGACCCAAGCCAGTCCAACAATTCATGCATGGTGAACAAACCTACGTTCTCCGTCCAGGGCCCAGCGCGTATTCGTGGGTTTCGAGAGAGCGCTCCGCCACCAAACTAGGCACTGTCAACACTGTCCCCTCTAACTGCAATGCTCGATGTAGGCATACTATGCTAGTCAAAAACTCCCGTTTCATAGAACAGTCCAGCCTCATCGACTTTGTACGGAAATTCTGTCAACTTCTGTCATTTCTGAAACCTACACCATACATTTTCAGAATGGCCGAGTCCGAGGCAGCGTCCTCTGACCAGTGGCAGGAAGCAATGCTGGAAGCCTGCAGCGCCGGTCGACTGGATGAGCTACAGATACTGTTCAATGAGCACGGCATCAAGCATGGTAGCCCTGCCACACGATACTACGAAAGAACACCAGAGAGTGCACCGACGACGAGCACCTTGTTCGCCGCAGCCATTTCTCATGGACACCAGCCGATTGTTCGATTCCGGTATTCAGTCTACCCAGAAGTCGAAATTGGCGACGGTGCAATTCCCGGCGCGCTTCTGGAGCCGCCTCTGGATCCTGATATGCTCAAACTGGTCTGTTCGCACACACCTGAAATTGCCTTTTTGGAGTACGAAGACCATATGACGAGCTTATTGAGGAAAGCTTGCGAAGGGGGTGCCGACAACGCGCCTTTCATACACGTTCTCTTGGACCACGGAGCCTTGGACAAAATGACTCTCAACTACACATCCCGTATGGGCGGACCGCTGACACGAGCTGTGGAATGCGGCCAACCCATCGACGTTATCAGCAAGATGGCCCGCGATACCCCTCATCTTGATTTTCCTATCAAATCAGCGCTGTTCCACAGACGTGCCGATGTCCTCGACGTACTATTGAGCGAGAAGAGAACTAGAGGACGATCTTCCTCCCTCCACCTACCAAGAGCGCGGTGGTGGCTCGAGGGAGAGAAGAACAAAGACATGACCGATGTGCTTGAACGCCATATCAAGAGCTGCGAACGGCAACTGGCCGAATCTCCTCAGAGAGGCCTTCAATCGACGAGGAAAGGCGACGCTAAACAGTGGTGGCCATTCGGCGCCACGGGGACAGAGACAAAAGGCAAGACCAAGGACCAGAGCAGCCCAACAGCAGTTGAAAGCGACGGCCCTTCAAAATCATGGTGCCCGTTATCGAAGAAAGGAAACAAACTCGAGTCTGCCGATGCACAACACCATGAGAAGATGAAGCGGGTTGACTATTCAAGTTCTGATGAAGACACGGGAAAGGACGGTTAACAATACTCTACGCTAGGGCAATACTGTGTATATCTTCCTAGTGGAAAGGAGATGAGGACTCGAGCCTCTTGAAAATTTCTCTATGTAATCATCATTAGAATTTGCCATTGATCAACATAGCTAGTGTAACAAGGCGAGGTGGCTGTGCTGTGATGGGCTGTGCTGGGCTGGTAGAGCGGTGGCAGAGTGAAAAAAGTTGTCTAGTCACATGTCAAACCTAAATGGGCTGGCAGAGAGGGGGGTGCAGAACAGTTTACAGTGCTGGCAGTGTACCATTCATTACAGATTGAGCAGAGTATCATGAATTCCATGGTTTTTGGCGCCGTCTACCTAATTCCTGAGTGTTTTTTATCAGTCCTGTCCTGTCCGTCGATGCTCCCGCTGTGCTAGGTGTTTGTAGCCCTAGCCGCTGCCCCTCTGGGTGGTGTTGGTGGTGTTGTCTTGTCAGTATCAACCAGAAACGCGTTCTCGATTCCCGATCTGCTGGACAGGCCTCTGTGCGTTGTTGCACGTGCACGCCGAACCCTGAAGTGCTCTGTTACACTAGCTTGACTCAAAACCAAGGTTCCCTTTCTCACCCTCAGTGTCCATACCTCTTCCACATCAACTCTTGAAAAACCATCTGAGACAAGGAACAGACGCCGACCCCACGGAACATAGCAAGCGACAAGGAGGCTAAATGAGTGGAAAGTCCGGCGCTAGAGTCCTGTCCCTGGTGTCCACGCCTTTACGGCGGTGATAGATTATTGATACCCTGGCTGCAAGGAATAAAGCTCGCGCCACTGAGTCCCGCTTGAAAGGTCTTCTGCACTGCATTCGATGCCCCGGCTGGCCCGCTTTATATGTGATCTTGAGCTTTCTGTCTCTTGGCCTTGATATCGCATCCTCAGTCCTTCTCGAAAACGCCAGCGCGCACATTAACCTTCTTGTACCCATCGACCACCTCATTAGATCGGACCGGGCTCATGAGACCTTGTGGCCCGTTCAAGCCACTCGCATTATGCAGAGCATCCATATTGCTTTGTACTTGGTACATAAAAATGACTCTCTCCTAGCAGCGCGATCAAGATCACCCATTCAGCGCTAGCATTGGGTAAAGACGCAGACGGAAGGATCGAAGTTTCCAGGCAGCAGGCTGAATAGCTGAAACGAAAGAGGGGGGGGGGGGGACAGATGGCAAGTGCAGCTGAGGCCCCCAAAGGGGCACGCCTCCGTAAGTTCGGGGCATAAGAAGTACTTGTTACACTGAACAATACAATTTGTTACCATCCTAGTCCTAACGTCCTGGGCCGGCACCCAAATCGACCGGTAAACGGATCATCGCCCGTTTATCGAGCCGAGTCGCTGTCATTAAAGATGTCCAGCCGTCCTTGTTCTGATATTCTAGGTTCGCACCTAACTCATCCAGTAAACGGACCATCGCCTGATAATCGAACCAAGTCGCTATCATCAAAGGTGCCCAGCCGTTCTTATCCTGATATTCTAGGTCCGCATCTAGCTCAATAAGTAGGCGGGCTACAGCCTCGTGACTTTGCTGAGTTGCCCATATCATTGGGGTATAACCCAAGTCTCTGTGTACCGGCTCCAGGTCAGCACCCAGGCCGGCTAGAAGCCGGACCGTTTCCGCATGCCCTCGTGTAGCAGCCAGCGACAGTGGCGTCCATCCCCATGTATCATGCAGATCTGGTTGATATCCTCTTTGAATTAACGTCATCATGAAGTGTCTTAGCCCGAACTATGCAGCTAAGTGTACACTTGTTGTCTGCATTCGAGTCTCTTCACTGCAATGATCCCAGGATTTGGCTGATGCCAACAAAACTTGACTTGACGAAGCAACGTTTGAGTCACTGATAAGAAACTGAAGAACTTCTTGTTGAGTCTCCACATCTTCTTCGATATGCTCTCCCCAGAACCGGGCTGCGTAGCCATAGAGTGGATTAGTTCGTAGCCTTTTCGTGAACTGGTCAGCGGTGTGACAGATGCCGCTTGCAAAATTGTTGAAGGACAAATAGGTAATGCAAGCCTTCGCGATGTAGCTTTCTGGCTCTGGAAACCAAGCCCCTTGCTTCGTGAAGTACTCTTGTGCCGTATAGTGAACGAGTCGGATGACTTGACTTTGTTCATCGACCGTGACCAGACCAGCACAGACAGACAATACAGTGCCCCGGTCGGGCACATTGTCATCATCGAATTCGCGATCGCCAATGACTACGGCAACTGTCTGAGGGCCCCTAGCCGGTTGTGATACTCTTGTGAGTTGAGGAACCACTGACCGGTTCCCGGCTGATGCTTCATCATGAAGTCGTTTTGCTGAGAGACAAATTCTGTGGGCGAAAGCCACTGGGGGATAGCTTGTTTCATTCGCTCAGTCTGTACGTTGACAAAGGTCTTCACATCCTTCTGAATATCTATTACATATACAAAGATATTAGGCTAATGACTCCTATGTTTTTGAGGCTTACCTACCAAAGAAAGACTCCGAAAATGTTTCGGTGATCTTTTTCTCAGCTTGCACTCTGGTTTGGTGGGATTCGAAGCAGGAGATCTTTTGTATACGCAGCAGCCGCCATTGCTGCATATCCCTGCCACCGCTTATTCTTATGAGAGTCCGAGTAATCGCATATACCGCGGACCACCAGGCAAGGAAAGCGGTTCATAACACCCGCTGCCTCCATCTCAAAACACAGAACACCATAATTTGCCGCGTGATTTCGAGCTGAGGCGTCGTTTATCACTCGATTCGCTGAAGCAATCAATCCGTAATGTATGGCGGGCTCATCGTCGTCTTCTGTTCTAGGTTCACGGAAAAAAGTATTCGATAAGTCTGAATCACAGGTTTCAGAACAGTCTCTCTCGTCGTTCGGAGGATGAGCGACTGTTGACAGATATAGATAATCTGTTTTCGGGTCCGGCCGCCGGTATTTCTTTTGTAGTCTTGGTTTATTCTCAAGCGTGGTATCAATAGTTTATTTAAGCCGATGGCCGTCGCTCTCATATTGCGCCCTTAAGCCAGCGACAGCTGTTCGGAGAATCGGTGGTGGTTGGGGTGCTCAGGGAGCGCGCAGGAAGCACTCAGTAACGCTCAGCTAATGGCTCAGTCAAAGCTCAGGTTAAAGCGGCCGTCGCTCACCCCCGAGGATCAAACGGTATATGGCAATCAGGTTTCCCGTTCAAGGGTAATCTAGGTAGTAATGAATGTAGTTATTGGTGGTGACTTAAAAAGAGAGGACGAGTCCTTGAATGAAGGATCAGGATCAGAATATTCTGGCGCCGAAGCACCGTGCCAGCCCCAACGTTCGAGCCCTTCTTTTACAGCATGCCATTTCTCCGAACAATCTTGGTCTGAGAAGGACCTTTACATTGTCGTCGGGACCTGCTGGGCGTCCTGGATCGGTTCGTCCCAGACCCAGCGGTCCTTGGTGTAGAGCTCCGCGCCGGGTTTCGGCGGCGATGTTTTGAAGTCGTTGAATAGCGCGATGCGCACCACTGCGTGTCGTAAGCATAGGAAGAGAGTTAGATATGTAGTTACAACTGTTTTTTGACTTTTTTTTTTTTTTACAGCGTTCGCGTAGCGAATGATTGTAGGAGAACAGAAGATATGATATGTATGTGCGACTCACAAGCTTGGCCGGGCAGACCCTCCTTGGCGAGCCCGTAGATCGGACTGCCGCAGATGTCGCAGAAATGACGATCGACGGTGCGGCCACTGTCGGTATTCTTGTCGGCGTAGTGCTTGATGGGGCCCGCGAAGGTGACCTTTTCCAGCGGGACGAACATGGCGAAGCCGCCTCCTGCAACCAGATCAGTGCCCGAGTATAATGCACGTCTTTTGAAAGCGTTGATTGAACTCTGACTGGCCCCAGGGAGAAGGGGGAGCGGGAAGTGGAGATATAACATACCTGCACCGCTGGTTTTTTTGCAATTCTGACAGTGGCAGACAAATGCGCTGGGGGTTCCCTCAAGAGGGATGTCGGCCTCGACGGTGACGGCGCCGCAATTGCAGGACCCGTGCATGTTGGAACGGTATGATTGATATCAATGTGGGTGGTTTTCGCAAGTCCTTCGGTTCTTTGACCATTGTGATTCACTGGATAGTTGTATGCTTATATTGTCATGCGAGGAGTCTAGTTCAGGATAAGAGGCGAAGCTTGGGAAGGACTGCGCGCGTAGAGAACCGGCGTTGTAGATGGCGCCGACGGTACGGAGCCTCCAATGTCTTCGAAATAATGTTGTCGCTCAAGTCTCGATGATATCCACGGAGGCGATGATACTCTCGTGGATTCCAAACTAATTAGGTATAGCCGATGTCCGGAGCCGAGCTACTGGTACGCACGTAGGAGAATTCGATCAAACAGGATCACCGCTCAGCATTTCCCAGTCAAAGAGCGGTTACGGGGAGATTCAAAACAAAAAATTTCCTTACCATGAACCCCTGTGATGTGATGAGCTATGTTAATTGCGTGTGGCGTCTCAGTGCCTTCTCGTCGCAGGTCAGACGGGGTTTAGAAGAACGTCAAACGTTGGCCGATCCATGGCCAGCATGATCAGACACAATTTCCCTGTTCAGGGACATGGTGATGAGTCCTCAAAGAGGTGGATGGGAACATAACACAAGCGACTGGTGGCGATGGAATGGCTCAGCGTCCATTCAGGCCTTCTTCGGCGTTGATGACGTGGCATCTCTGCGAATGTCCTCGATGGGTTCGTAGGCAGATTGATAGGCTCTATCGACACGGAACCATGAGATGCACTGCAAGGCCTTAATGCTGAGCATAGGGACCGACGGCCGTTTCCCAGCCAGTATGTCTAACTTGCCCAGCAATTCAGCGTTTGACCAAGATCTGATATGAGGCGAGCGTCTCATTCTTGAGCGCAAAGCTCTTGATATTTTCCTGCATCATACTCTTAAGGATCCTCGGCAATGAGCTTGAAAGTGACACAGACAATGACACTTACTAAGTTGCTTGTTTGTGTCACCTCCACAAGAGGACGATGCACCTCGACAGCAGATGGCCCTCCGATCCCAAACATAGCAATAGTCAAGCTCCAATTAGCTGAATCGTCTGCAATTTTCGTCTGTAAGGCCATGCGATTAGTGAATATGGATGCTTGTGATTACCAAGGAATGCACGTTGGTGAACACGGTCCTATAAGTTCCCCATGGCCATGAGCCGTTGTGGTAGGCTAACCTGTGCCGACAGATCCTGAGTCCGCTGCTATCAAGAGCTAAGCAACGACGAGTAGAGGGTTCAGAGGAATTTCCACGTCGAGCAAGTCATGCATCCCCTCCCAGAGTGCATCAAACGACCAAATCCGGGTTGAAGTTTCCCGAGGACAAGAGACGGGCGGCTTAGATCTTACAAACGGGAAGAGAGCTCACCATCAGCATTCGTGGTCCGAAATCGTCAAAAGTGTATTGGAAGATTGTGTTTGTCTGGGGCAGTTTGTCGACCTTGTCGGAGGCTTTGTCCATGTCCGCTGAGATAGGCCACTCCACCTATCATAAGAAGATACCGGGCAGTAAGGAAAAGCTCGCTAATAAGTCCTGCGTACAAAAGGACCTGCAGGCAAATGTGGTTTCAAAGCTAACGCACCTCAGCAGACAGACACAACACAGAAAGAAATCAAGCTGGATGCATGTGTCTCCATGTCGAGTGGTTCCCACAGTCGTTTGACAGGTGCAAGCAAATTAGGTGCCTGATTCAATACACTTGCACCGCATAAAAGGGAGGTGTGGTGTAGAATGCATGTAGCGAGCTGCTTTTCGTTCGTCACCGTCTTCCTTACCAGTGTTTGGAGTCAAAGTGATATCAATCTTTCCACTCCCGCAGGGTTACCAGAACAACATCTCGCAGCAAAATTAGAAACGACACTCTTTGTAGCGAGATACCATTCAAAAACCAGCCAGCAAAATGGGCGACAGCGACAGCACCAAAATTTGGGTCCCGATAACGGTTGTCGGTCTCATCCTCGTCTTTCTCCTCGCAATATGCTGTCTTCCCTGGCGCAGAGACGACTACATCGAACGACAGTCTAGGGGAAGAACACCATCACGCCATTTGCCAACAGGATTACCTTGGGAAGAGATCACCACGTTCAGCTCATTTCCGACTCGACCTGGACCAGTGTTTCTGGGACCACGCGGCGGCCGACGAGGACCAAGTCCATCCTGGGGCGATAGGGGGCCAATGTATTATCCTGGAGTCAACATCATCGAAAGAGAACCTATATTCGCGCGTAGGTGATCGATGGGTTGAAGGATGGGAGAATCTCGCGGGAGGCTGTGGTTAGTTGATATGAGCCCCCAGGACATCTTGTACGGCGTCGACGGAGGTGTGTTGGCACGGCTCGGGGGGACGAGGAGATTGCAAGCAGAGACATGGATGATGGAATCACGATTCGATCATGATGATATGGTGGGATGATGGGTGATGGATGATGGGTGATGGATGATGGGTGATGGATGATGGGAATGGTGGTGTTGAAATGGATGCTGCGCTGAGAAAATGTCGACGCGCCAAGTTGAAATCGAGTCGCGTGAAGTTGGTTTCGACTCTCGACTCTCGACGCTCTATCTTCCCTCAACCACCCTGTCTCCTCTTCCCTCAACTAATGACAAACATTCATCACCAATTGCTGCTTCGGATCTACTGGTTCGAATGTCCACCAGAAAATGCTGAGCCCTCATCCAAGACTTTTTCGAAGCCATTTCGCCCAGGAGCTATCTTCAAGGTCGTTTTAGAAGACTAAGAACTCGGTCTTCGGAGATCCTCGGCATGGGCAACTCCAACGCCTAGTTGAAAGACGAACTCAGGAGAGATGCTGTGATAACGGGGCGTACACCTGCCGATAGATGCTGATTTCTACCACACGGCCGAAACATCTAACAGTGGGTGCCTGCAGCAAAAGACCGTTGATGTGCCGATGATCACTGCGCCTTGCATGGCAAAAGCTCTACAGCAGGGCACCGCAAATGGAGAACCGGGCGCAATTAGATTTCCGATTTGGGCATTTAGACGCATGTGTCTCCGATCACACGAGGGATCCTGACCAGACAGACGCCTCTCTCTGAGACTTTGGGGGATTAGTCCGCTTTGTCGGCTGAACCTCAAACTATTTGAAGTACATATTGCATCTGCTTGGCCAGTTCTCTGCGAAAAGCCTCTTCTTGCGGAAGTGTCAGCCTAACCAAGACGCTATTTTCAACGCCCAATGGATAGACCGGGCCACATTAACTACCAACAACCAATCGATCTTGATTCTGATATCCTCCGCTTATCACTCGACTGGAAGAAATGTCGTTGACATGACCTGCTCACTGCCGGCGAGATCGTTGACTTGTTGGGTATCAGGCTGCAGCTAGACTTGAAGCGGACTAAACCAGTTGTTGCCTCGAAGACGACTCGTCGCCTCATGCTAGCACGTCCGATCGATTCTCCCGCTGCTGCCTAAGCATTGTCAACTGGAGAGGGGCAGGACAAGAGCAAGGCGCATCCTGGGCTTATTATGACAAGCTATGATGATTCGGGCTTGAGATGGCTCCCTATCGGCAGAGCTCTCGTCGGCAGTCCATTCTCTAAGGAGAATGCTTTTACAGGCTTGACGGACTTGGCCAACCAACCCGCAACGCCGGACAGGCGCCCCTATCAACTGTGTGCCTAGAGCCGCAAAACCCTTGGACTCTGCCCAGAAGTTGACTTCTCTCATCCTTGCCCACTTCTGTTCATTCATCACTATCCTGCACAGCATAAGAGATGTCTTCTCACGCTATGAGGCAACGATGGTGGCTCTGAAGCGGCTGCGTCTGGGTTGGTCATAGAGACTGCAGCAAAATTGCTCTTGTCAACAACTCACCTGAGCACATTCCCGCACCTCCAGTCACAACTATAGCCTATAGCCATGGTTAAGTCCACGAGATTGACTGTGAAGATCTTACTTGGGATCATCAACGACTGGACCACCCAGAATGGAGAAGAAGGGGGAAAATGAGATGGCCTGCGATACATTTACGATAATGCACCGTCCTATCGAAAATCAACCCAACGATACCATCCATAATCTACCACGCAATGGAAAGGGCGTTTCCAACACAGCGGATGGGGCCAACGAGCAAGAAGTTCTTAGTCGGATCAAATCTAAAGTTGCTTTGATCGAATCCTACTCGGGAGATAGCCAGTTGGCGAGCGCCTTGTCTCAAGGCAGCAACATTCATCCTGCCCCTCAGTTGGTCGACCACGAGCCTTACATCAATCCAATTACAGGTCAAGCGTTCATACTTGACTGCCTTGATGAGCCAGGCCCGTCATGTCCTACAAAGAGTGTCCCTTCTGCTTTGATTGCAAGTCGGCTCCATGCAATTGAACACAAACATAAAGCCTCCAGCGGCATTCCACGATATGCCGAACCTCCTGTTTTCATCAATTCTGCCAAACATCACAACCTCGATTACCCACAAAGCCTCTTACATACCGGATCAAAAGACCCAATCTCAGAAGTAACTCCGTGCGACGCATTGTGGGAAGCTTTTGGCGGCAGTCCGTTACCGTCGGACAACACAGCATACGCCCCCAATGCATGTACGAATGCGAGTATGTCGCTCAACCCGAGTAGTGCTAGATCTCACCTCGATCAGCATTGCCCAGCTGGGAATCCGAGGCAGGCATATGCAGATAATCAGGGAATCGAGCGTTCTCTGCAGGAATCCAAGGAGGAATTGGCATTAATAGGATGGAATAGAGAATGGAAAAATCATGTAGCTGTCTCAAAGGGTAAACATCATACGGGGCTGAAGGCGATGCCTGATGGGCTGCGGGCTGACCTTCAAGATTCAAAACGGCAGCATCAGTGCGAAGTGGATCGCAGTTGTACCATGAAACTTACTGGGGACGTTCCACAAGACCATCAAATGCTTCTCAAGGTCGAGACAAGCCGTTCGTCGGAGGAGAGAAAAGGAATGCAGGTGGACCAGGACGAGAGCAATCGGCGAGACCAAGAAGAGATGAAGGCTCCATTCGAGCAGATCCGCCAGTCCCAAGACGGATGGAATCGGGAAGTCGACTTGATTGTTCGCCAGGAACATGGTATGGCACGGCAGGTTGCGGCGAGGGAAGAAAGGAGAGAAGAAGGGAAGGCACCAAAAGAGATGAGGCGATTTCAGAACCAAATGCAGGCAGAGGACGACCGTATGTTCGAGACCGATCAGAAGCTAGCTCGCGCTTTATCGGAGATTGAGAATGAGGCTGGAGTTCCGCCGGACAAGCAGGGACACCAACTTCCTACCTGGACGGAGCAGTCGCCTTACCCGGAGACGCCTTCGCCTTCGCCTCCAACATGTCCGGAGAGAGGAGGAAGCGCACAAGACCAGAGTTGGGGGGCCAATCCATTTCGATGGCTGAAAAAGGCACTCCGACTGGCGCTTAGCCTATCACCAGCACCAGTCCCGGCTGGCATATCTCATCCGGGTCAAGGCATCAAGGCACCTGACGGCTCCAATAGCACTGGACGCGCCGGCGAAACTTCAGGAAAGCGCAGGCTGCCAACAACGGACAGGGAGCAACCAAGACAAGAAGAACAAATGAGGAGGCGATTAGCCAATGAAGCCGAGTGCAGCGTGTGCGCCGACTTGGCTCCCAAGGACCAGATGTGCCGGTTTGGATGCAAGCATTACTACTGTCGCCACTGTCTGGAGACAGCGGTCCAAACAGCAATCAAAGACGGGAAAGTGTTCAAATGTTGCAGAAAGCAGGCCGAGCCGAGTGTTGTCTGTCGGTGGCTTCCCGCGCAAGTTCACAGCGCGTACGCGGCCGTGGTCGAGGAACTAACGACTCCCAACCCGACGTACTGCCATAGTAGGAGATGCTCAGCCTTCATCCCTCCGGTCCAGTACGTCGGCGACACGGCACTGTGTTCCCGGTGCTCGACCGAGACCTGCAGACTGTGCAAACAGAAGGTACATCCTGGAGTCGTATGCGAACAGGACAGCGGAGGCCAAGCGTTGCTGCGCCTGAGCAAGACCAGGAAGTGGATGCAGTGCCCGAATTGCAAGAACATGGTGGAGCGCAGCGCGGGATGTCTCCACATGATTTGCCGGTGCGGGAGTGAGTTCTGTTACAACTGTGGGAAGCCCAGCTGGCGGTGTCGCGGGGCCAAGTGTGCTCGAGGGTGATGCAGCCTTGTGCAGCCTCGTTCCAGCTCCATGATCAGCCTCGATATATGTACCCTGTATATTTCTCTAACGTCCTCAGACCCAGCGGACCCACAATCGCATGCACCCCGCACTGGGCAAGAGATATGATTGGATTGGACTCGGGATCTTGTATCATCATTAGTTACATGTAATACATTCCGAAGTCCCGTCGAACTACATAGCGAGAAAATAGTAAACCCTGCTGAGCTCACCCTTTTTTTATCTTTCCCCTAACGATCTAAACGTTGGCCATGCTCTATAAAAATACTTTCGGACCAAGGTACAACCCTGCCTAGTTCGCTCTTTGTCTTTCCCCTAACGATCTAACCATCGACCATGTTCTACAAAAAGCTATACCATCGGACCAACGTACAATCATGCCGAAAGATCCACCGCAGACTACCTCCAACTCACCAGCAACAAGGGAGACAAACGGGAAGAAGATGTCAAGAGCCTGCATGGCGTGTCGAGAGACCAAATCAACTGAGCTCGATACGGTCATCAGAAGAGCCGGTCTACTGGTGAGCTACTCAGCCTCGTCCGGTGGAGGAGATAATCCAGGATGCCAAAAGCATTCTCAGTCGCAATGAGCTTTGAAGCAGATCGCGCACGCGGCTCAAACAGGCTGTTATGGGCATTGCCTCGCTGACTGACGATCCACCCATTCGTGTGCCCGCTTCCCCATGGACGGAAAGCACCTGGGATGACGATGCGGTATCTCATCTGATCTCCATTTACGTCACCTGGCATTGCTGCTGCTACCCTGCCGCCGACCAAGACGTATTTGTAAAGTCGACGAAGTCGAAGAATTTGACCAGCCACTTCTGTTCTCCCTTTCTGGTCAGTTCGCTTTCACTGGTTGCACGTGTAAGTAAATTTAATCTCCGGCATCCATTCATCATGTTCGCTTGGTCCCGAGCAAGCAGTCCAGAACTACACCGGCCATCCAGCTGCCTTTGCCAACCCGGAAGACCGCTCGACCAGAGCGATGCCCTACATGGAGGAAGTGACGAGATTATGGGAACTTCGAGCAAGGCAAGGCGAGTTTTGGCTGATTTGCGGGGCTTGCCTTCATGATCTCGTGGTGATTTTATGGGACGACGTTGCAGAATTATGCTCACCATAGTCCCGGCTGAAACTCTCTGCCCACAGTGCCGTCTTCCCAGGCAAAGATCGTGTCGGCGCACTGGACACTAGGCGATCCATCACCATGGCAGCCGAGCTTGTGAGACACGTCAAAAAGAGCTTGCGCCGGGGAGAGACCGAGCACACGACCAAAGAATCCCAGCGACCGTATATTCTGGCTCTGGGGGCCAGCATTCAGCCTTCAAACGTAAGTCTATCAGGCAAACACACACGAGTCGAACATTGTGCGGGAACCAACTGGAGGGTGGGGTTTGTATGTATAGTCAAGTCGCCCTGGCATGGACAAAACCCCTTGATTTGCGACTCCCGACGTGCAGTGCACCGTACGATGAGCAGGAATTAGCTACCGAAGCCTCGTGGCAACCGTACCCAAACCCCAGTCCACGTGCGACATTTTGCCCTGATGCGGTCGACAACGAAAGATTTCGACTCTACACCGTCGCGGCGGACATGTTTGCCTTTGGTATTGATGGGGAGTCCACAAGGACAGTCCCTTGCCCGGCCACGCCGCCCTCGACCCTGAGGAGAGATTGGAGCGGCTGGCTGACGTTGAGCTACGGCTTTTGGACTCGTATCAGTCTCTGCGCCCCGGGGCGCGGTGGGAGCCCGGATCATCTCCCAGTCTCCAGCTGGTCCCTAGGTCGATCTGTAGTAAGTAGTTGCTTGCTTCGGAATCATGTGGGTTCGTAGATATAGATGGATGGCTCATTTTGGGAGTTTCAATAAACAGTCTCGCATACTACGGGGTCTACATCACCGCACAAGCCCTCGTCCTTCGCGCCACGCCTGCCGCGCAAGGCCCCAAAAGAAGACAGGTCGGCAGGGGGCAAAATAATCCGCGCTTGTCCGAGCTATGCCGCCATATTTTCTGAGCGAGGTCGTGAGTTTGTCGAACCGGGAGAGCTGTGGCACGAGTATGGAGGCCTGCATCTTGCATGATGTTGATAATACTACAAAGGGAGCATACGTACCAGTATGTCAGCTACCAAGTAAGCAAGTAAGCAAGTAAGTAATAAAGGAACCACGAGCCGAGAGAGGAGCAAAGACTGATACAACCATCTCTCCCCAGTTCCGATGCGTTTGGGCCCGTCGTGTTTCGCTTGTGGTGCCCTTGACGAGCTTGGTCTTCAGTCCAGGGTCCATACCGGCGCGCTTCGCACAGTTCGAACGGTCTTTCCTCCACCTGTGCCCAGAATTTTTTTTTTTTCCCCGTGCGAATCGATCGAACGGAATGTCCGACGCTGGTGGCGCTGCGTATATGCGTATATGTGCTCCGTAGAAGTGAGTGACGACCGTCCAGGAATGTAGCGTCTGGTCTGGAGTCCTGGGCTCGTATCTGTGGACAATTCCGGGGGAAGGGGGACATATCGTATATATGTAGGTGTATGTGTATGTGTACATAGACAGAGAGGGACAGAGGGAGGGAGGCTTGCGAAGACGGAAATGTCCAATGTCCAATATCGAGAGTAGGTAACGTATGTAGTACGTAGAACATGTAATGTCATACGAGATGAGATATACCTCGTAATCTTGATTGTATCCATGTGCCTGCCTGCCTGCATTTCCTTCAGTATATTGCATATCCACTGATAATGTACTCCTTCGGGGGTGCCCGTCATATGCGCAGGGGATACTGGAATGGCATTGACTGTGCGTGCCTAGATTTATACTTCTCTCTCTTTCTCTTTCTCTTTCCCTTAGATACCGTGGTTCGTTCCGGGGTTCACCATTTCCATTGGCGAGGCACTACTCTCACAGATCCCGTCACTACCTCTCGTGCATCCGTCGCTGTTCCCTCCTCTCTGCTACTACCTCCACGCTTTGGCTTTCCTTGCCCTCTACCGTCCTCTCCATCCTTCCGGTATCAAAATCGAACCTACTTCCTCCACCCCTCGCTCCATAACCAGCAAATTGTACGCGGCAGCCGCGTTGGGCGTGTCCATGACATCGACCTTGATGCCCAGTTCCTCGGACAGATATCTCCTCGTTTCGCGAGAGAGCATCCACAATTTGCGACCCGTGCCGATGAGGAGGAGATCTGGTTTGGGATAGAGGAGTGAGAGAAGGCCGAGAGTCGACGGCGGGAAGTTCAACATCCCGCGGGGGTCGAGGAACACCGTAAAGCCTTTGTGTTCTCCGCTTCCGCTTCCGCTTCCGCTCGTCTTGCTTGCAGCATTCCCGGGATAGGAAGCCGCATCGGTAGCGGCAGCACCAGTAGTTGTAGGCATCCACGGCTGCCACAGAAACGCTTCGCCGCCCACCAGTATCACCCCTTTTCCGCCCGAAGTATGCACGCCATTGTTTAAATGAAACCCGTCGCTCGTGCAGGCGTCGATGGACGTGGCGGGTTCCTCAACGCCCGCGCTGGCCAGAATGTCCATTTTGGAGAAATCGGTCTGCGTGTCTTCTTTGGAAGGGGGCCCACGGTCGCGGTGTTTTGGCGCGCGAGGATTGATCTGTCTCGAGCGGCTGGTGGGCGTTGGAGATGGGGTGGCCGGTTTAGAGGAGGAGGAGGAGGAGGAGGAGGAGGAGGAGGAGGAGGAGGAGGGAGAAGACGACTGCTGGCGGCTCGGGATGGTTGTAGAGAGCGGACGAACATGTCTCGTCCGAAAGGATTGAGTGTAGCATGTTTGACGTCGTGTGAGAGAGATAGCCAGGGGACGTTGCGCTTGAGATGGGTTCGTATATAGAGGCGAGGCCGTTGCTGCTGCTGCACGACGAAGCGCACGGAGAAGGTCGGTTGAGGGAGCAGGAGCTCGCATCGTGAAGGCCGGCTCCCGAGGGAACAAAGACGAGGAAGAGCGGAGAAGGAGAAAGCTCAGGCAACGCAGGAGAGAGCTCTTTGCTAATTCAGGATTTTTCAACAGACCCAACTCGGTGTGCGAATGATGTAGAAAGGCACTGAATGGGCAGGAGTCAGGAGGAACGCTGTATTATCCGTCCATTGAACCAAGAATTATCGCCGTCGTGGGGGTGATGTAGAAGATTGGTCGTGAAAAAAAGTTACCAGCCGAAGTTTGATGGTGTTTGCGAACCCATGACTTCATCATACTTGATCATAGGTATGTAGTCTGCAATGCAGGGGGAACGCCATGCTATGTACCAATAGAGACTATGGACAGCCACCGAACACCTATACGGAATAGTAGTATGTACAACTACATACAGTACCGCTCCAGCGTAATATCAATCTACCACCACCACCCGTGCTCATTGCTTCGCTTTCACCTTATACTCTCATACTGGGACATGTTCACATATATTAATAGGTAGTATTCCCCCCTACATGGACAGAGTCCTCTTCGCGCAGACCCCCTTTTCGATATGAGCGGAATGCCGTCAGACTCAGGATCCATCAAATAGTCCCAAGTACATGTCTTCAATGCATCCTGCACTTTTGCCCGCCTACATGGATAGATAGATACCTTACCAATCACAATGCAACGCACCACCATGCACAAAAGGAAAAGCATTACACCTGACATGCCCGAGCTCGACCTCTTCTTGCCTCAAAAGTCGTTTTGAAATTATCAAATATGCCCGTCAAAGCCTCAAAAAAAATTATTACAAAATGCACAACCCAACAACGGCAATAACCACGGCGAACAGACTTCCCTTGAACACAGTCTCACTGTTGCCGCCAATCTGGCCCGCACTATTGGAAGAGCCTCCCCCATCACCTTGTACGAACCCTGTCGAGGCTGCTCCGGTGGTGCTGGCGCTGTTATCTCCGGATCCTGAACTGCCGCTGTTGCTTCCACCGCTATTCGTGGTGTTGTCGCCACGGCCGCCGTTGGTGCCAGTGCCCACGCCAGAAAGACCGGGAATTGTGGCCGGCTCGCTTGTCTTGGACGAGCCGCTTGAGCTGGCACTGCCGCTGGGATAGCCGGCAGACATGTTGGTGCCGGTCCCGAGGAATGATTTCAGCACGGTATTGTCATTGGTCACTTCGACAGTGTTGTTGGTCATGGCCGCGTCAGTAAAGATGTAAGACTTGGTGCCTTGCACGTTTGCGCCGGCAGGTGGATCGTAGCACTGCACCGAGACCGAGTCGAACTGGGCGTAATAGTAGCCGTTGGTCATGTATGGCGAGTTCCATTGCACAAGACCTCCTGCCCATTGAATGGTTCCTTCGCCGTTGGTTGGGAGACCGCCGGGCCACAGGGACAGCTGCACTTGGCACGGGGTTTGGGGGTAATAGTATCGGTTCGCCGTCGCATTCCAGGTGTCTTCGCGGTTCAAGGTGCGGACTGTATTGCCGTCGATGGACCAAGTAATGGTGTCGGGTTGCCAGTCGATTTCATAGTCGTGGAAGTTTGCATGGACATCCGAAAGACCGGTAGTGTTGCCGCCATTGGTATCTATAATCCCAATTAGCATGCAGACCCTTTTTTTTGGTCCGGGGAGACCCTTGAGAATTTTGCTTACAGACTGGTACACCCTGAGAGTAGAAGTTTGTTTGAGCACTTGTCAACTGCGTCCCGACGAACTCGAAATCGATTTCGTCCTTGGAGTTACCGAGCAGGATGAACGCAGTGACCACACCAGCACCAGCAGAAGTGGCAAACCTGGCACTGACCTTGCCATACCATACAAAGTGCGTGCTCGTTAGCAGTGTGCCCACTGTTCCCTCGGCCATGGTCAGTAGCACCGAGTTGTTGTATTCCAACGGACTGCCGGAGGAGACCCAGTCTGTCTGAGTAGCATCTCCCAGGTACTTCGTGTTGGGCATAACACGGTCGAGGTTATTAAAGTTATAGGTCTGGGATTGACAGACGGGTGCGGGCACGCAGGAATCGAGGCTGGCTGAGTTGACAGGATCACATCCCCCCAGACAATAGGCACCAACACCACATTGGCCATACTCTGTCGCCCCATTGATTGTCAGTATCTCGATCTTGTTCGCAACAGGACATGTATATCGGGGTCAATGGACATACGCGAACAGCAGGGAGCATCTGATGGGCATAGAACACCGCCGCCACACTTTGTCTGAGCAAAGACTGCGGGTGCCAACGCCGTGGCAACGAAGACGAGTGAATGTAAGACTCGGCCCGCCATTGCGGTGTTTTTATTTGTTTTCGTTTTCTCGGGTAAGGTTGGCTGATGCGTATGCAGTCGTCAACGAAAGGGCGACGGCACCATGCACCAATATACGAAGAATGCCCCGAGCCCAATACAAAAAGATTTGTTCTTGCAAAATCGAGTATCACGACAGGTGGGGATTGCTCTAGTCGTACGAGGTACAAAGAACGAGGTTCGAGGATTCGTCAGATGTTGCTGAGCAAGAGACGGAATCGGGTGGGAAATTGGGGGTTGGAATCGAACAAAGAAGGGGCCACGGCACTCGCGGGAGAAGGCAACGAACGAAGCTAGCGAGAGTGAGTGAAAGGGTTGGTATACTGTAGATAAAGAAGGATGCAAAGAAGATGGGATTACAACTGATGATGATGTCGGAGTGCGAAGAAAAAGGACAAAGAAGAGAGGACGCAAGGAATGGCGAGTGATACGGAGCTGCGACAGGAGACGCATTGGGCGCAGGCGAAGGCGAGGAGAGAGAAAGAGACTTAGCCAATGTTACTATGCTTGGATTGACGCAGGTGTTGGCCATTCCAAGTGTCTGCGCGATGTCTGTGAGTGGCTCTAGGTGACTCTGGTGAGGACCCAGGCATACATAGCGGGTGCATAGGGCCCGAGATCCAGGCCCATGGGCGTCGTGACTGGTCCGGGGCGCTCCAGGGGTTCCATTGCGTGACGCGGCGCGTGAAACATGGCCAGGGATGGAGGTTCCCGGTGCTTGGAGGGGCAGTTGCCACGCCTGTGGAAGCCTGTCGACACCCGTTAAACCCAGATCGGTTAAGGAGTCAAGAGATGGTGGCGGCAGACCCCTTGATTGGCGGCGTGTTGTGGCTGTGCATCCCCGGATGTTCCATCACCCATTCTGGACGTACTTGTACTTGGTACTTGTACTTGGTACTTGTCACTGGGGTGGTTGATGAGTATCCTCTTGTTCCAGATTCAAGTTTCCCACGTTTGATGGACGTCCTCGATGATGGTGTGATAAGGACTCCCACGCGGCTGCATCCTCCTCGCCTCCTCCCGAAGCTCTAAGCTCACGTGTCAAGGGCCCTCTTTACTACCTTATACAGTAGTGACTTCAATGCGAGTCATAAAAAGCAGACAAGGGAATCAGTGACTGTCACCATCACCATCGCTGTCTTTCTCAGCCGGGTCGACGCGTGTCGGCCCGTTAACTCTAGAATGACCATCTGACCAAAGGGCCCCAAAGCAACTGGTAATACACACTCTCGGACTCACCCCATGACGGAAATCAGTCCGATACCCCTGATGCTTCCCAGGCTTGAGGCATTCAGGGCAAACCCGTCTCGTCATCCACGCCTGAAGCTGACCTCCAACTCCGGAAATCCAGAACTGCTCTTTCAAGGCTTGTGGTTTGTTCCTCAGGCTCGTTCTCAATAGAGACCACCAAGACCACCCAAGTTGCAAGAATGGTAAGCCGGAATGTTCCGCATCGCGAGCTGCCCGGATTCTGGCTTGTCAGCCAACTCGATTTCATAAGCATCCTCTTGTCTAATATAAATATGTAGACGAGTAATGCTTGCCGAAGCATCTCATCTATTATTGTATCGAACCTGTGAGGCTTGGTGACGCGGTAGATCAAAATGGGCTCAATCGAACCAAAGAGACCATTTGAAAAGGTAATGCTGATTCCCAGCAACCCCTGCTTAACTTCGATTGTCCCGTTGAGGGCAGGGTGTTTGTTCGATACGCATATATGGAACTCACCAGCTCATTATTAGGTCATAATCGTCGGAGCCGGTCCGGCCGGGTTGCTCCTCGCTCTTTTGCTCTCGCAACACGACATCCCGTCCTTGGTGTTAGAGTCATGGGATAGACTGGACGAGCGACTCAGGGCGACCCAATATGGGGTGCCTGCGACCAAGATATTCCGTCGGGCAGGCATCCTCGACGACATCCGGGAGCAAAGCATCGCCAGCTTTCCCAGCATCTGCTGGCGTCGAGTGAGCGACCACGAAAGACTGACGGGTATTGATCTGTCTGTCGTCAAAGACCACCCAGACCGCATGACGATCCTGCCGCTCAACCAGATCATCCAGATCATGTACAAGCACTGTCTGGAAAAAGCCAACGGGCTGGTCGAGGTCAAGTTCAACCACAAAGTCGTTGGTACAGGTCAGGACGACAGGTCTGCCTGGGTCGATGTCGAGGTTGGAGCCGAAGGGGAAGCCAAGGAGAAAAAGAGGTTCACCGCCGATTATGTTATTGGGTGCGATGGAGCCACCAGCACAGTGAGAAAATCTCTGTTCGGCAGAGAATGGCCTGGTCAGACATTTGATTTCCGCCTGATGGTCCAAAATGTACGTCTCTCCAAGGCCTTCTTCCCTCCTGGTGTTCTCAATAGACGTCAAAGCTGATCGGAGCAACAGGTTTGGTATGACGGCTTCGAGAAACATGGCTGGGACGGAGGCAATTATATGGTCGACCCGGACTTCTGGGGTCTGATTGCAAAGCGAGGCAAGGGCGGCCTCTGGCGCGTCACCTACGGAGACGGCGCCATCGGTCTCTCTGATGAGGAGTATCTTGAGCGGCGAAACAACGCCTTCAAAAAGTTGCTGCCCGGCCATCCAGACCCCGGCGAATATCAGATCACACAGACCGACCAGTTCCGGATCCATAACCGCTGCGTCGAGAAGATGAGGGTAGGACGAATCATCCTCGCTGCCGACGCCGCTCACGTGTGTAACCCATTCGGTGGCTATGGTTGTATGACGGCAGTTCTGGACGTTGGTGCGCTGGCCGACTGCCTGATCGGCTTGTACGAGGGCAAGGCCGACGAGAGCATCCTCGACCTGTACGCCGACATCCGCCGCGAGAAGTTTCTGAAGTATGTGGATGCACGGTCGATGAAGAACATGAACAGGATCATGCACACCGACCCCAACACGGTTTTAGAGACCGACAAATTTCTCCAACTGCTCAAAGATCTGGAGGGCAACGAGGAAGCGACAAGAGCATTTCTGTTGGTAAGTTCAGTAACACGGTCGCCCTCGTGTCCACGTCAAAAGCAGGACCCTCTTGACTGATCTGTGAGAAACCTTAGAAATATTCTAGCATCGAACACGACTTCACTCAGTACTATAAACAAACGTAGGAGGACACACGGAGAGAAAAATCTTCGCGGCTTTGGACCTCATTGACAGGGGCGAGGTGCTTTCGCGCTTTTGCGGGCCGTTCGCGGCCCTGAGAACGAGGAGCGTGAATATCAAGCCTGGCAAGTAGACTAGCGAGACTTTGCGGTCCCTGGAGAATGGGGCAAGGGCGTAAACAGAAGCTCTAGCTGAAATACAAGAGGGGACAGAAGACCACACGGCTGCTGAGCTTGCGGACTAAGGACTTTTCGAATACGAGGAGAGAACCGCTATTATGTACCAGCTCAGAGAGCAGGATCGCTTCTTTTCAGCAATTTGCGGTTTGGAGCGGTTCATGTTTTCTCCCTCTAATGTCGCAACATTCTGCATGAGGAGTTCCTGAATCGCTCTGTCCGCAGGCTTTAGTTGAGTGGTGTCGGTGCCAACTCGCTCCGTCAACAATAGAGCTGGTAGAAGGAGGATGTCTGGTGTTGGCTTTGGCTTTGGCTTTGGCATAGTCCTGGACGCCTCTTTCAGGAGCCCTCGCATGCCCTCTGTCCTCCCCGAGTGATGCATCTGCCTGTTCTCTACTGGGTATGCCCATTTGTGATTTGCAGATCGCCACCGTGATTCTCCCTCTATTGGCCAAGAACAGGTTCAGCCCCGTGCAAACCACTGCTTTGGTCCAGACCTGGCGGATTTTTCTGCTTTTGTTTTTTTGGCGTTTTCAATAATCCCCCTGCTTGTTGACTGTGGCTATAGGAGGCTCAGCAGCATGGGAGCATTTCTTGACCACTCTGTGCACTATGGTTTGATGTCTGATAACATCTCGCATCGACAGCAGACGGGCCAGTAGTGCCATTTCCTATCATGTTGTGTTGGGTGTAATCTCCGAGACCCGACCATGGCGTTACTCCAATGTGACAACCTACCTGCACGATAGAGGAATAACGCAGAAACAAGTCGGCGCAAGAGATGCACTACGGACACCTACCTATGCAAGAGCTTTGTCCGTAGGGCTCCGAAGGCGGAACTTGAACTTACCAAAGCTATGAAAGTCTTGAGTTGAAGCTTGGTTGTACGTAGGAGTGATGATCTGTCCCGTGCGTGGTGCCAAGAGTGGCCAGGGCAGTTATAGTGTTGTCCGTAAAGGTTCAAGAACGAAATGGCTGATCGCCTTTAGCGGCTGCAGAATGCTTGTTTTCCCACAAAAACAGGCCACAGTACACTGTCCGTCCCAAGATTGGATGAGATTTCAGGGCAGAAAGACAGGAGTGACGATTTCTCAGCGAGAGAGCCTCACGGTCCACTCTCGTCGTACATGAATTAGTGCTCCGTAACCTGTTCTTGCTTGTTCCCTTCAGGAGGTGGCGTTTTGTTCCCATCTAGTGCTAGCCTATTCCCCATTGCAGATCGGGACTCAGGCAATCGGTGGCTGGGAAAAAGGTCGGTTGCCGGCAGGCCAAAGATTAGATTGCATGCCTCTCAGGCTCCATATGTACATACTGGGTACATAAAGCCCATGCGTCGAAGATGCGGGCATTTCTATCTCGTATATTGAAAGCGAGAAGACGGACTTTTTCTTGAGAATTTCCGCAGACTATTCCGTGGCGTGCATGGGCGGTCGTCGGACATCAAACTGAATTGTCAGCACATGCCCGATTACATCTCAGCTTGTTCTGCATTGAGCCACTTCTGTGACCTCGTCGTCGCAGTTGGTGGTAATCATGTCTTGCAACGCCTCCCAGCCACATGGCAGGAACAGCGGTGTTGGAGCATTGGTCCAGACTCCGCTCTGAACACCCTGACTTTCTGGAGCCCTCTCGACAATTTCCTTGAGAAAATCCTGATTCCCTCAAGAAGCTGGTGGTATATCTCGTTTAGGACAGAGCCGGTTGTCGGGTGGCACAAGGATGTCGGATTCGGCTTCGATGGTTGTCTCGACGCGCCAAACAACAACACTATCGAACGAGTGCGGCGTCCAATTAGACATACCTATGAGGATCGAACCCAAAGGGGATGTCGCTGCGAACACGGCCGAACCTGTCCGCCCTGCATTGAAGAGTGACGGTAAACGATAAGCACTACCCAAAGAGGTCCCCCGCTTGGTGTGGTCTGTATCATAATCTGCAGGCTCAAGGAGAGAGCCAAAAATGGCGGTATGGCTTCCTTCTGCCCAAGAATCCGGTGTGAAATCCTCCTGAATCAGCATCTTCCAAGGCCGGTGTGGCAAATGAACCAGTCACGGGCGTGGCACCACAGGCAGTTAGCCCTCTAGCATCTGTCTTTTGTCTCGCCTTGCCAAGTACGGAGTGTCGAGGAGGGGTTTGATCCAGGCCAATATGTGCGGGCCATCACGGGCCAAGTCGATCCGTAGGGTACCCAGTACTGTAGAATGTCAGAGGATAAGAGACCCATTCGGAGTAGCGGTTGCCGATCGTGACGGGTGTGGCTTGCTGGACTGCGACTTTGGCAGCGCGTTGAAGATTGACGATGTTGTCCACCGACGCCGGCTGCCTGTGGCTTCTCATGCACTTGGAGGAGCTAGGTTGTCGGTCCTCGCTACCTCGTACTCTACGATACTGTAGGTGAGCACAGCAACAATGGTCTCGAGGAGCGTAACCGGGGCGCGGGTGGCCTAGGGAGCGCACAAAACCGCAGTTGGAATGAATACGGGGTATTTTGGTACTGTGGTTTGCGCTTGGTTGTACCTTGGTTTGCTTGTGGCAGTGTAAATGGACAATTCCCGCAGCGTGCCCCGTGATTAGGCAAGCCGCCAAGCCGCAACCAACTGACCGGCATCCTGCGCCATCTTCTTCTCTGGGTGGCCCAAAAATGGGTTCCGCCAGATTGTCGCCAGATTATCGCCAGATTACCTATCGCCAGGCTGATGATTGCGTCCCCCTTTTTTTCTGCTGAGGTTGCTTTCGGCTGTCGGTGCTTGACGCCCTTGTCGCTAGGCATCATTGGCCACCAGTCTCTCCTCTAGCCAGCGGCTTTTGTCTAGCCTCTCCAGACTCCAAACCTGTTCCTCCTCTTCCTCGACTAACCTCCACTGTTCGCCCTCGCCATTCGTTCCTGTTTCATCGTATGTAGCAGTCCGTGCGCCTTGAAGTCACATCGAAGGGGGGGGAGGGGGTGGTTTTCGGTCAGACAGAGGAGAAAGAGGTGGTTGAATGTTCGTATGTGGCACCTCGTATTGCTGGGGCAGCTGAACTGCACAACCACACCCTCAGCTGGGCTAAGATTGTAGTGTACATTTGTTTCGAAAAGAAAAGACCAGTTATAGTAATTCAGGTTGGCAGCCAAGGCTGAGCTGCTTGTCGAAGCGAAAGGGCGTTTCCACTGCAACCTGATCGTCGAACCAGAGCTGGATTACCCGTTGTCCCTCGTGGTTGCGAGAGTTTGAGTTTCTTGTCGGTCAGATCAGCCGTCAGCATCGTCGTCTCAGCATGGAGGACCCTCTTCGGGAGCCGGTTGACGGCCCATTTGGCATCGACTGTGCTGGTCAAAACTGGTCATGGCGAACCGATTCAAAGACGGCCTAACACAGTAGTCACCTAGGTAGGGGCCGAACACGTCCAAAAGTGGAGCTGGGCGACACAGGAGTTCAATCTCGTGGTTCCTCCTTAGGCACCGATTAGGGTTGTTGCAACTTTCCATCCCACCGCAGCCCTTGTCACTTGAGCATGGAGCATGGAGCATGGAGCATGGAGCATGGCTGAGCTTGTCCTTGCCAATTGAGGACAGAGAGTCAGGGTACTCCGTGAGTTCGCGCTTCGGACAACCAAAAGAAAACAAAGATAAGTCTTGCCCGGCCCCTCGTGGACCAACTTCATCAACCCAGATTTTTTTTTTTCCTTCTCGCCTGTCTGTCTGCCCCTTCGTTGTGTTTTGGACTGCTGCAACCTGTCAAGTTCATCAGTGATTCGTTACTGCCGTTGCCGGGTCTCCTGTCAGGACACCCAACCTCCTCCTTTTTCTCCAAGAACGTCGAGCTTCTCTCCCTGTGCGTCTCGACAACATACGAAAATGGGTCAGACAGCATCCCAACCCGAGGGCGGCAAGACCCTCAAAGTCATCGGCGCCGGTCTCTCCAGAACAGGAACAACATCATTCGGAGCAGCCTGTTGCTACCTCCTCGATGGCCCTTGTTACCATGGTGGTACCCAGATGCTCAACTCCCCCGAGGCTCACATCAAGCGTTGGATCGAGATCATCAAACACACCCCCGTGAAGAATGAAGCCGACCGAAAAGCCCTGAATGAGGGCGTCAAGGAGATGTTAGATGGATATGTCGCCTGCACAGATCTGCCTTCCAACGCCTTTGTCGAGGAGCTTATGGAGATCTACCCCGACGCCAAAGTCATCTGCACTGTCCGTGATCCCGATAAATGGTGGAACAGTTTGGCACCTATCGTGGAGAAGGGCAACTTGACCGTCTTGTCCTGGATCCTGGCTCCTCTTCCAACCCTGCGATGGTTCCGAACATACCACGACGCCCTTGACGATGGCCGTGTCGGCGAGCTGTACTTCCGCCCCGGCGAGCCCAAGAGACCGACCAGAGCCATGTGGGACCGACACATCGAGCATCTGAAGAAGGTCGTCCCCAAGGAGAAGCTGTTCTTCTATGACGTCCGCGACGGCTGGGAGCCCCTGTGCGCGATCCTGGGCGTCCCCGTACCCAAGGATGTTCCCTTTCCCAAGCTGAACGATGCTGCGGCCATGGAAGGTTTCATGAAGAAGAGCGCCCAGCGAGGCATGATGGTGTGGGCTGGCATGTTCCTGTCTGCTGGCGCTGCTGCTCTCGCCGCGGCGAAGTACGCCCAACTGATCTAAAAAAATTTGATGCTTGGTGCTGGAGGCTTCAAATGTTCTTTTATATGACGACTTTGGTATCACTCCTCGTCCTAGGGTGAAGGCAAGTCCGGACAGTCACATGAAAGGGTGCGAAAATGGTTTCATACATCTCGAAATGCAAACATCATGGGCTCAGGTTATTAGGCGCCATGGGGGAAGGAACAAATATGGCGGATGGGTTGGCGTCTTTTGCAACAGTTGATCGATGACTATTCAAGTTGCTGTGGGTGACTGAACATCCTAGATCAGTGGGTGACAATTAGAGGGACTTTCGAGGCCGATTTCCAGGCCTCGGGGTGCAGCGCTGGATTTGAAAGGCTTCTTTGCAGACAGGCCGAGAGGCTGCTACGATTAGTTTTTGTAATGCCAAATACTTGGAAAACTGCGTCTTCGTCGTGAAGGTCCCGATCGCGCCTGAGTCCAAAGTCGGTGATGGTGCCCCTTCGAATGCGGAGCCTTATGGTCGATCATAGGGCTGAAAAACGGCCGCCCTGCATCTCAAAACAAAGCACGGAAGAGCCCTCAATGCCAAATTTGGCGGGGAAAAAAGCACTCGCAAAAGAATAATATGGCAGACTTGAAGGAGAGAAGAAAAAGACAACAGACAGGTTGACAGAGAAATCCATTTTGTTTTGGTTGATTCTGATCCTTTCAATTAACCAGCATTACTATTACGTGGGCATCCCTTTTTATGGCGCAATTGCCCGCCAAGGCGACAGACCAGGCTGTGGACACAGCGAGCGCGCCCACAACATCAGCTTGGCCCGGTCAGCCCAGCTAGGGCTGCTTGCGGCAATAGGATATATCCTGCGGCCCTCTGCCTTGCCTGTTGTAGGGGATGTTCCCCTTTCCTCTGATTGGATCTATTACATTTTGAATTTGTGACCTGTGGAAATCCCTTTGCCATCCTCATCTAAAAGTAAGCACCATCATCCTCCATCCAGGTCGCGCTGTGACCGTGTTTCTGGATTGGATCTGGTTTGCTTGGCCGTGATGACTTGGCCGTGTTTCTGGATTGGATCTGGTTTGCATGGCCGTGAATGACTGAATGGCGGCCTCTGAGAGGGTTGTTTGCGCTCGTGTTTTTCGCGGGTTGTCACCTGCATCCTGTTTCAACCATCCAAAGCCTGTGCTGTTCTCGTCAGGCTGAGCTTGGCGGCAGAACGGTCTGGACCTGGACCGTCCTGGGGAATCCTGGAGGTATCTGCCGGTCAAATCACGACAGATCTGGGCAGATGCAGTAACCGAGCTTCATCCAAAGAGAGCCAATGGTGGTGCAAGGTCCATAGTTGTTCCGTGCGAAAGCAATCATGCATAGTTCGGATATCATCAACCAGCCAGTCACCGGTCGAAGGGGTTCATGGGATTTGAAATTTGCCATGGGTGCCCATACGAGCGCAATCATGTTAATCCCAGCCCTGTCGAGGGCAGATACATATCCGTACGCGGTACAAAAACACAGGATATGCCGGACATTAATTTTGGCCCTACCGCCTTCACATACCTCATCTATTTTCTGTCGTGAGGAAGTTCGTTAACACCCATGCCACGACGTCGTTGATATGCCGCCAACTTCGACGGTGGATGTTGCATGTCGTACATTTGCTGTGGGCCCACCATTCTGCTGTCTGCTTCACGGTATATCTGCTGGTTAGGGTGCTGACTGTGGAGGTGGAAGTTATGTGAACAATGGTTTGCGCATCTAGCGCCGATGTCGTTGTGACCTCCTTTGTTGTTGTGCTCGTGCGATATTCAGTAGAGATAATCGTGGACGTTGAGTCGATGATCGTCGTGACATAAATCATTGTATACACAATGGCAATCGTGGTGGTAGCCTGGCGTCTTCTGAGACCGTGGCTCGGTTCAACGAAAGGGGTGATTGGATTTTGCGAGAGGTCTTCGTAACCGCATTGGGCTTGAGACGAGGAAGACGCATAGTTGGTAGACAAAGCAACTGGTTTGGACTTGGATGGAGGAATAGCGGTCTCGGCTGAAAGTAAGTGGCGAGCTCTGTTGGACCACGGTAGCTGTGTCGACATTTGATGCTTTCGCCACGTCGATGTTCGTCACAGCCTCCGTAACGATTTCAGTAGCATAAGACGTCTCATACCATGTGACGTGCACGTAAATTTGCGAGGTAATAGTGGACGTGGATGTGAACACCTGGAAGCTTTGAATCATGGTCTTTTGACTTATGCAGGTGTTGCACATTGAGAGTTCTCAACAACAGGCAGCACCATCCAGTGCTCTCTGTAGTGTCGGTACAGCGGAAATAGTTGTCCGGACAATAGGCTGCTGCGTTATCTGGAAAACAGTAGTTGTTGCGTTTCCTGAGTGGATCGTAGAAGCCTCGTGGAATCCGAACACGACCGCTTAGCCGACTTGCAGAAAGGTAGACAAAATCATAAAGCTGGTCAAGCACTGTCGTGCTCGTAGGTAAACGTCTTCCGGCTCGAGATCGAGCATGTCTTGATTGAGCACGTATTCATCCTGAGATAAGCTGGCCGGGCTTGTGATTGCCTGTGTGAGGCTCGGAACGAAGAAGACAACAACTGAAAAGAGCACAGCATTGGTGGTGACCATATTGAAAGGCAAGAATATCGACGTCTCCCTGATCGGAAAGAGCGAGAGGGCCTCATTTCATACTCAGTACATGGTACATTTAGTGCTTAGCCTGGCCCCCACGGGGACTCAGAGAACACCAACCTTTTGTTCAAGCAAATCGCGGCAGGCGTTAATGAGGCGTCGGTCGATTCCAAGTGCTCAAAGAGTCGCCCGGCCCGGTCGACGGTGTTTCATGGGTACCGAGTACAATCTTTCCAATCACGCGCCAGAACCTCCCCTCATTAGGATTAGCTCACACACTTCTTCGAGAAGTCCTGGGCTAGATATGAACCCCCTTCGGTCGTCCATGAAGTCAGAGACCTCCAGAAGCAACCTGCGGCGTTTGGAGAAAACATAAAGAATTTTTTGATCAACCATTCACCTGGAGCTCACCTCCAACGTCGAGAATCGCGTCGAGGGGACAATACTCCCCGAAACACATGTGGCTGGCCAAACACACAGAATTTTCGTTTTCGGCGGAGTTCCGTGCCATGCTGCATACGCTAAATGTTATGCCCTTGACCGTCTCTGCTTTGTACATGGCAAGGCAGACAGGGGAAATGCGGGTGGCTGCCGCTCGGCTTAGCGCCACCTTCTCAAATGATTAGAAAAGATTGTAAGTATTGAAGTGGTCCCTCGATTGTCCTTCGTGGAAAGGTCTGACTCGCGGTATAGTCGAAGCGGTCAAAATACCAGTTTGCGCCAAGCCAGATGTACTCGGGAGTTCTATATGTGTAGAGATAGGCGCAGTTCAAAAGAGAGGAACCGTAAGTAGCGAGGTAGGTAGTCAACTCTAATGGGGCTCGGAAATCGGAACTTATAAGGACAATCCGAACGTCCCTCCAAATGATATGCACAGATTAATCAGGATGGTCGAGTACTCCGTACCTCGTATTTTTGTGGTTGTGCCATCATCCTCCGTGGGTGATGGGGGACTGCTCCAGCTGTGGCAACGTACGAGGTACATAGATGCAAGATGACACAAACATCCTGAAGAACATGAAGGTGAGGAGGAGGCTCGGCTTTGACTGCCCGAGATTGAGTCGGCAGGCATGAAAGGAAGAGCATGTATGGACCGGATAGAAGGGTCACTGGGGTTTGAAGGGTGAATTGGAAAGCTCACGAAAAGCGTCGCGCATGTGGCCGTTCGAGGCTTCCTTTCGCTGCACGTGACATTACGCTAAGCCCTAGTCGGGGTCATCAGGTCCCTCAATGGCGCCTGCACCCTTGACCCTTGTGACGCTTGCGCTTGACATATAAAGTCACTGTCATCCGGGCAAAGAGACACTCATCAACATTAATTGTTGTATGGCTTCTTCAAGCTCGACTCTGCAGCCTCCAGTCTGCGTATAAGAGCAAGAGCATTCAATCACCATGCGAGAAGAACCCCTGCTCGCCCGGCCTGCCTCTCCCACCTCGTCCACGAACGATGTCGAAGAGGAAGACGCCCTCCTCACGGGTCAGCCAACCGATAGATCCCATGCTAAAAAGTACCGAAAATGGAGGGAAATCGGTCTCTTCGTCTGGGCTCTTCTTGCAACTGTCACGGTCATCATTCTAGGTGTTGTGTATCAGCATGAATCCACAGTCGCACGGGCGAGGCCCAGAACAGGAGGATGGGGACCGGATGGAAGACCATCTGGCAAGAGAAACATGATCTTTATGGTCTCGGACGGCATGGGCCCAACATCCCTCTCAATGACCCGCAGCTTTAGACAGTACACAACCGGGTTGCCCATAGACGACGTCCTGATTCTCGACAGGCATCATATTGGCTCCTCAAGGACTCGAAGCAGCAGCAGTCTGGTGACCGACTCGGCTGCTGGTGCCACTGCCTTCTCGTGCGGACTCAAGAGTTACAATGGGGCCATTGCTGTTCTACCCGATCACACTCCTTGCGGAACAGTCCTGGAGGCTGCTAAAAGAGCCGGTTACATGACAGGACTGGTCGTCACTACCAGGATCACGGATGCCACCCCTGCCTGTTTTGCCGCCCACGCGAATCGAAGAGAATATGAAGATCTTATTGCAGAACACATGATAGGCAACTATCCGCTAGGTCGTGTTGTGGACTTGATGATCGGTGGTGGAAGATGTCATTTCCTACCCAACACAACCGAAGGTTCATGCAGAGCGGATGACAAGGACATCGTTGCCATGGCCAAGGATCAATTCGGGTTCACGTACGTTGACAACAAGAAAGACTTCGACAATCTGAACCCAGAAAATGACGCACAACTACCGCTGCTTGCCCTGATTGCAAATAAAGACGTTCCATATGAAATCGACAGAGTGCACGTCGCCGACATTTATCCAAGCCAAGCCGAAATGGCCCGATTTGCACTCAAAGCCTTGTCAGCCGCAACAAGGGACTCCGATAAGGGGTTCTTCCTCATGATCGAAGGCTCCAGGATCGATCATGCGGGACACTTTAACGATCCCGGGGCCCAAGTGCACGAGGTTATGGCCCACGACGAATCCTTTGGCGCCGTTCTAGACTTCCTAGAATACGACAAGACGGACGGCATCCTAGTGTCGACATCCGACCATGAGACAGGTGGTCTTGCCGCAGCCCGCCAATTACATGAAACGTATCCCATGTACCGCTGGTTCCCGGAAGTCCTCGCCAACGCAACACACTCGACTGAATACCTCGCAGTCAAGTGGAACGAGTATCTCTCCTCCAGCGCAGATACCTCACGCAAGGACGACGAGTCAAAGCTGCGTGATCTGATCACCTCTAGCCTCGGCATATCAGACTCTAGTCAGGAGGAGATTGATGCCATCATCGATGCCACACCGGTTTGGCCTCCCTTGTACCACTTCTCAGATATGATATCGCGCCGCTCGCAGCTCGGGTGGTCTACGCATGGCCATTCCGCGGTGGACGTGAATATTTATGCCTCACACCCGAGTCACGCGCCGGGATTAGTGGGAAACCGTGAGAACATAGAAGTTGGTGAGTTTATTGCAGAGTATCTAGACCTAGATCTCGGAGTCATCACGGCGGAATTGAAAAGTAAAAAGGTCAAAATATCATCTCTGACCGGAGATGTGGAGGAGGACTGGGGAGAGTGGATGGGTCCCCGCGGTCTGCCAGTCAACGAAGACGGAAGTCTCATATCACTGGACGCATACCACGGGGATTACAAGCATAGGAAACGCGAGGCCGAAGCGATTGCAGATTGCGGGTGCGGCATGAAGCACTGAGGGTGAACCCTGGTGGAAGAAACACATCTGATTTTAACCGACACGTGACGTTGACGGGCAAGGCAAAGTGAATGAGAAGCCAATATATTTGTGGAGTACCCTACAGAAGCTTTAGATGAGGGCGTTTGACAAGAGGATTTCTCGACAGCGGGCGAAGTTTGTTCTGATGGTCGCGAGCTTTGGCTGGGTACAACTGAGAAACAATGCGTAAATTTGATATACTCGAATCGATTAATCTCCATCTAGGAAAACGGGTGCTGATGCATTTATTAAGGCCACCGAAGGTGGAGGTCCAGACCTCTTCTCCGTATTCTTGGTGGACTATAAGGATGTTTCCTCCTCTTCCATGGATGTGTGCGTGTGTGCATTTCGCCGTGCAGTCAGCCTCGTCCGGCCTCGTCATTGTACTCAGTGCGAGTGGTGGATGGGTGGAGGACGTTTCCAACGGCCTCGAAGCACCAAGGCCCAAAGCCCAAAAACGTAAAGCGAAAGTTAACCCTCATGTTCGACTTGACTTGACTTGACTTGACCTCAGTATCAGTCAGGACGAGGTACCCAGGATCAGGATCAGGATCAGGACCAGGATCAGGACCAGGCCAAACACGCCTTCGCCCAGAAGTGCGAATTGTCCGAAGAAACGAACAATGCTCTCCCATGCGTGCCTCACCACCCCAAAAAAAAGAGAAAAGAAAGAGACGTGGAAAAGAAAGAGGGAAAAGTTGACGAAAGGGATAGGGGGACTTGCGCAGCATGGCGGGACGGGCACTCGGCGAGGGGTATGTACCGAATCCACAGAGTAAGAATTACCCGGTATGTACAAGTCGCTCTGTCCACCTATCTATCTGTTGTACTGAGTATCTATCAACCAATCAATCAAACCATCAAAGCGACGACATGCAGGCAGGACAATAGGGTATAGACAAGTCATGATGAGAACACTGGGTAGTGGATACTGATCAGTTCATTGCTATTTCTTTGTGGGGATCTCCGTACACCCATGTTTTAAATGCAATAAAAACGACACGCTAATGCTTGCAAGAGTGTACGGTATGTACCCCGTATAACGGATAAAAACAAACGCCCTATTTGTTGGGGGCTGACTTCCATTACCTATTTTCTCCAATTCAAAACAAATAACCAAGAGCTGCTAATGCGACATGATGCTTTTCGCGCATTGGATGCATTCCTCATTCCTGTCGTTTCACTTTGTCTATTATCCATCTCGACCTTCCTCCTACACCTCCCCGTCCTTCCACGAAGACCGTTTAGTTTCTCAACAGGCGCGCATTGCCGGAGGGAGGAGGGCAAGTGCCACCAATGTCAACAATCCACGCGGCGGAGTTGAATTCGGTGTGAATCTCGGCGAGTTGCCAGCCAGTGGGTCCGACGGTGGCATCAGGACCCTTCTGCACGGCCTTCAAAATCGTGATACCCTGCGAAGGATAGATCTGTTTGCCAACAGCACCGACCCATCGGAGGACGATATAACCATCGCAGGTGACGACGTCTGTGCCCAGAACGGTGAAGCCGATGGGTGGTTGAGCGCCTTGGCCTGCAATATATGCCTGGGCGCTGGGGAAGGTAGGACCGCCCAAAGGAATGCCAGCAATGTAGTTGATCGAGTCTGAGGTGTCAACAAGCTCAGGGGCGAGTAGGTTGGTTGCGGTGGCAGTGTCGAAGTTGGTCAGGGTAGAAATCCACTGGGTTTCGATGGCGATGGCGATGTTATAAGGAATGCACGAGTCGTCACCACGGGCATTGAGTGCTGGGGCGGCAGAAGCCAGAGCGGCCAAGCTGACTGGAGCGATGATGCTGGAGAAACGCATGGTGGTGGGTGATTATGTAGATGTGGAAAACGAAAGGCTTCTGTAGTTCGTTGAATTAATCTGAGTCTGGTGTGGTCGTGTTGTTGAGTGATAGTATTATATATAGCTAGGACAACGAGTGGCCTGTTTGGTGTAAAATGAGAGTGATTCTTTCGTGGAGAGCTGAACTGATGATCTGGAGGAAGAAAAATTCTCTGCGGTGAGTGGGAGGCGACTTGCTTTAATGCAACAGACGTGCAGGGGAGCTGTACAGTAGGCTGGATGCCTTGCCTGCCTCTTTTTCGGGCTCTGATCATGTGGGATTGGGATGAGGATAGGAATAGCAGTGGCAGGAACGCTAGGCTCTGTCGCTCCGCCCACTCGGTTCGTTTGTTGGTAGCTTGGGCCGGTTGCTTCGTTCAGGGCAAATTTAGCTTTGTGCAGGCCCTTGTCCTGACTTCATCCTTGTCGGCCATCCTGTGCCCGAGTGGATTCAACGACGAGCTCTCGGCGACTCGGGAACCGCCTTAGGCCAGATGCAGGAACAGCCTGTGGCATCGGTCTGATGTGAGCATCCAATTCGTCCAATTGGGCATCGAAAACTGTACGAGGTAAACCCGTCAGCGGGAGCGAGGGCTTCACCAGATGAGGAGAAGATTGGAAGGTCCTGAAGGATTTCCCCGATGAAGAGGGAGGGAGAATTAGGCGAGAGGTTGCTGATGGCGGAGGCGCAGAGCCCATTCCAGCCGCAGGCCCTTCAGCCCAGCCTGCGGCTCAGCAACTTGTTACTATCCTCGGACGCTAGCTGGTGGTGTTGTTGGTGTCATTGGCCAACCCCGCCTCTTTTTTTGCTTGTTCTGACCCGTAATAAACCCGGTCAATAGGCACTCGGTGCCCACCGGCAACCCTCCCGCCGACCTCTTGCAATCTTGGCTTCTTGTGCTGTGAAAAGCTTGGTTGAACCTATTGCTGAGCGAATCATGGAGAGGTCGGACCTCGTGTCAGGACGCACGTCAGCCCCGATAGCAGCTCCGCTAGACGCAGAGGCCAACCCAGGCGAGTGTGGTGGTTGGGTGTCTTGTGGCAAAAGAGGACTGTGACGGATGTGGAAGGGCCGGGGGAGTCTCTCTGACGCTGTGGTTGGCGGACTTGGAGGCTGGCCTGCTGGCTCGTTGGCGGTGGAGGGGCTGCTTAGCGGAGTCGAAGCTTGCAAGAGCTTCCAGGGTTTCCACCCTCGTCAGGTACCTGCTGGTCCTGATACATCATCCACAGTCATCTTTGTCCACGACTGCGGATGGAAAGGCTGGGGGATGGAGTAGGTCATGTCGATTGCAATCTCGCCTGCAAAAATGGAGAGCAGGGAAACACGTCACACACTCCGAGGGGTTGGCAGGTACCGTACCCAGTATGAGTAGGACAAAGGATCTACAGAGCCGGGGAGGACAAGATCGAGTAACAGATGTGCAGAGTAGCGGAGAGTTGCAGAGAGTAGCATCAAGCTTGCATCGGACTTTGACACGAGCAAAAGCCAAAATGCCAATGCCACTGCGCTCCACACACTCTCACCTTCACCTTGCTTTCGCCTTGCTTTCGCCTTGCTTTCACCTTGCTTTCACCTTGCCTTCACCTTGCCTTCACCTCTGCCCTACCACCACTAACTCCTACCGTCGTCACTAGCCACCTCTTCTTACCTACTCCGCACATGGAGAAAGTGCTAGATACGCAAGACAGGACACCTTAGCACAGAGAGACCGAAAATCCGAACATCATCACCTCCAGCCCAGAGCTCAACCTCCGCAGCTAGTCCAAGTCCGTTATCTCTACAACTCCAGCTTTGAGAGGGTTTCAACCAAGAAAAAGCTTTCGCCTCCACTTTCCACCGTGTGTGTCAGTTGATCACTTCTAACTTACATACCTACCGTAGGTAGATACTGTCACAAACCGGAACCACCTCCCCATTGTGCCCACTGTCCCTACTTGTACCGTACAGGGTAAGCCGAAAGGGAAGAATAAAAGAGAAAAATTGGCCTTCAAGTGTTCACGGAAGTCACTATTCAGGCTAATGCAGGCCAGCTCGTGGCCCATCCTGCATCCTGTCAAGCTGAAGACCTTCCGCATCTTCCGTCCATTTATACCTTCCCATTCCTGTCCGGAGACAGCTCCGCTGACGCGATCATGTCTTTTTGGATGCCTCTGGACCGACTTTGCCTTTGCCCTGTGAGGAGGAGTCGCTTGGTGGCGGCTGCTGCTGCTGCTGCTACAAACCAACCTGTCTCCGCCCGCTTGCTGAGTTGACAGTTTGGGAATAGATCATGGCCAAAGCAAACTGTGAGGGGCAAAAACTTGCAATCACGTCATGCGGCTGCCTTGGTCGAGATACTCTTTTTGTGAGGAGTGCCGAGCTCGAATCATCACCGCTAATGATTTCGAGTGCGTGATGGCGATCGTCCACCCTCTTCTCCTGGCGTAATCAGTCGGACACTCTTCCGTGAGTTGCTGAATGCCGATGTCCGCCCCCGGCTGCTGCCTCTTTTGCCGGACAAAGTCCGTTCGTCGCCGCTTTGCGTAGCACGCTCCCCGGCCAGACTGTTGCGGAGTGCTACTCGTGCTTTGTCGACCGCAGGGCTAGGTGTCGCTCTCAACAGATCTCGCTTGGTCGAGCCGCTCGTGCCATTTCCAGGATTCGGGCCCCGAATCAGTTTGGCTTCGTCTTCCCGTTGGACTTGCTGCTGCAGGCGCTGTCGTCGTGTCAGTCCTGGACCGCAATCGCAACCGCAGCCTGACGTTGGACATCTCCCTTCGCTGGACGGCTGACTGAACCACTCCATCAGACAGTGGACGTGCCCTGAATGACCACATGCCTGGCAAAACATCCACATGTTTGGATTATGGCCCCAAAGCTGCGAATGGGCTCCCAGATCCAGATTTACATGCATCTCCACCATATCTCTGAGCGATTGGCAAATCGGGCAGACGGATCGAACTTGCCGACACCGTTCACATGTGCTCGTCTCTCCTGTCATCGGGCGTTGGCAGTTGCTACAAACCATGGACAGAGTCGTTGGATCTCCGTTGCTGAGACTGCCACCGGTTTGCTTGCTCTCTGACGCTGACCGATAGACTTCGGGATAATCAAATTCCACACACATTTTTCTCAGAAGTGCTGCGGGTTCAAAGAGTCCCATCTGCCTCAGAAATGAAACGTGGTTCTCAAAGATCCCCTGGATGATCCGGTGTCCGAGCCGCGGTGTCATCAATCTATCGGCGAGACTGTCCGCAAACTCCTTTTCACCTCGTTTCAGTTTGCGAAAGCTTGCATGAAAAAAGTATCGATGAACATGCATCAGAAGGTGCGCGGCAAATTGCGCCTGACCAATTCCGTTCTCTAGGTCGAACGATATGCATTGACATATCAAAGGAAGCGATGACCATGCGAATGGTAGTTTCGGCTCATATTGGGATAAATCAATGGGCCGAAAATCTTGGTACAGGTACGTCTCGTGGTCCAACTCTTCCATAGAGAGTCGACTTAGAAATCCATTTCCATGGCGTTGATTGTCGTCACCGGCACCACGATTGGTGAGCTCCGTTCTGATAGGATTTGACGTATGTATCCGTGGTCTGGTTATTGAGGCTGCTTCCTCAAATTGAAAAATATCTGGCGACGATGATGCGGCTGTATCCAAGTGCGAGGGAGGCACAGACTCATGTTGCGGAATTGCATGCCATGAGGCTTTATCCTTTGGAGATGACTCGGAGGGCTGTCCTTGTCCACCAGGTCCAAAACTCATTTCCAGTGGTGTATCGATGGCAGACAAGCCAATTTCGTGCTCGTCCGAAGCGGCCGTACTTCCCCATTTGGGACCGAGCCTCCTACCGCCATGATCGTCTGAAGAAGACAATTCATAGACATCATCCTGATTGAAGATCGGTTCTCTTACCGAGTGTCTCGCAGATCTCCTCAAGCCTTCACGAGGGGAATCAAACGACTGTCCAATTGATCGGGGCCGATGCGAGCTGTCTGTTGATACCGAAAACATTGGGAAACTCTCATCAGAATCGTGCCTGCTTTCCGAAGCTACATTATTTGTCGAATCCGCCAAGGAGAATATAGGTCGAGCTTGGATGCGGTAATCGCGCAATGCTGCTCTGCGATCTTCCTGGCTCCTATTTTGACCTTGCATCTGCTTCTGCTCGACTAAAAGATCGGACCTTGGCCTCTTGACCGGTGAGACTGGCGACTCGGTCAGCGTTGAGAGTTTCTTCGATGCATCAGCACTTCTAAGCAGTTCAGGTGAACAGGTGTCTGATCCCGTTGCTTGATTGGGGGAACCGATCAGAGCTCGAGCAGCTGCGGCGGCGGTTGAGTGTGAGGTCAGGAGCGACGGAGGCAGAGGTGCAATGTTGTCGAGTCCTTCTTCAGTGCTTGGTTGGGACCGTTTTTTTAAGCTCGGCAGAGGTGAATTTGGTAATGGTTTGGCCAACGGCGTCGTCATATTGGAAGTGCTGTCTATTTCAGAGATCTGTTGCTGGCGCTCTGCTGCAGTGACCCCTTTGAACAGACTGCTCATGAGTTTCTGGCCTTTGTTATCGGACTTTGGATTGAAGCCCCGGTGTGGGAGTCCAGCTAGCGGAGAAAGACCTGGGCGGTACCCTCCAGCTCGAAAGCTTTCCAAAGTCTCACGTCGTCTGGCGGCGTCGGCTCGACGGTTGGCACGATTCGCGTCCGCCCAATCCTTGAGCTCTGGAACAATCACTGCTCCTAGGATCCGCCAAGACTGAGCCATACGATGCATCGACACCGCATCGCATGCAGCAGCGTTCTGGTGGAAGGCATTCTGCAAGCGTTGAAGTATTGTATCTGGAGATGACTTGTTGTCATCAATCGTCGCTGGAATCGCATAGTGTGAAGCCAAGTATTCGACCACTTGCGGCTCGGCTGCCACACCGGGAATAAAGCCAACGGTACCCACCTGATTGTTGTTAAACAGATCTTGACGGTTGAGAACCGCGGCATCTAGAGGGAGAATCGGCGGTTTATCGTCCATTGACGACGGACTGTTCGTGTGAGACTTGATAGGTCTCGCGGGCACGCTGACACCTTCACGTCGACGGAAGCTCGTCCCCACCGTCGAGTCAAGCCCCCCTTCATCATCCGTAAGACTTCGGCTTGCCGCGCCATCATCACCACTGCTCAATTTGTCTCGCGGCACATTCAAGAAGCCAGCTGCAGCGTCATCCAGGAAGGACACCAGTTGGACGTCTCTTTCCTCGGAAAATGTGTAATACTCTCCATCTGGGAGGAATGTGGAGGTGCAGGGAGCGATTTGGTTGTAGAAGGGTACCGTGTGCTTGAGGTCCCACTGAGTGAAGATGCCTTCATCACCCACAGTCCAAAGCAGATCCTTATCTGCCCACAAGAGATCGTTTCGAGGCATGCTGTACCTATCGAGTTCTCGAAACGGTAAGAGCGGCCGTCGAAGGTCCCAGATGTGCAGTCGAGGGTCGTCGTGATAGTATGAAACAGCGACCTGAGTGCTTTGCCACAAGGTCGACTCTGCCGATTCCGGCGCCTTGCAGGCCGGCCTCCACCTGATGTTTCTGATAGCGTGAGGCGCTCTGAGCTGGAAGACAGGCTTCTGGCGTTTTTTGTCGCTCTCGAAATCCCATACTCTGATGTACTTGTCGAACCCACCTGAGATAACATGATGCCCGTCGGGGTGGTAGTCTATAGAGTAACACGCTTTCTCGTGCGCGTTAATGCTCAGCTTGGGCGCGACTGGTACGCGAGCATCCCATTTCTGAACGACGCCTCCGTCTGCGCAGATGGCGAAGTCTAATGGGTCTACCGGAGACCAACGGACGTCGCGGACGGCACTGCGCACCTCAAACCTTATGCGGGACTTGTCACGCTGAGGCTGTCGCAAGTCCCATAAGCGGACAGACTTATCTTGGCTGGCTGAGAGCAACAGATATCCGGCATGAGGATCAAAGTCTAGCTTATTGATCTGTCCCGTATGCTCGTGGAGCCATGCCAACTCGGTCTTTGCACTTGGGGCATTTAGGTCGTACAGCGCAATGCGACCATTCGTGGCTGCCGTCGCTATAATGTGCTCCCAATTGCCTATTGACCACTTCACGTCTCTTGCAGGAAGATAATCCCTCCGCCTCTCGGCGCTATCCAACTGCGATGAGGAGTGGGCGGACGCATAGGAGCTGATAGAGGCCCGAATGTTTAGGTCTTCGGTGACTTTGCCATCGTGGACACGAACTGTCTTCAGTATCTCTTTGCCGGCCAAGACGGCATGAGTCTTCTGTCTGTTAATGTCGAGGGCGGCAATGGGAATGCCCGTTCGATGGGTGGCCGTCTGGGAGGAGTGCGAGCTGGTGGCCGCAGTCAGTCAATGCGTCGACAACAGCAACAGCAAGCGAGCAGCCCACTCATGCCTGTACGTGTGTATGCCAGTGATTCGACGCAGACCGCCATCACGGTCGCCCTGCACTGGGCCCCCATGGGATTTGGAACCAATATGTTTGCCCCAGGGAGCGATGATTCTCTGCAATTGGCCTAGCCGGCCTGGCGGTAATGGAGGAGCTGGTGGAGGCGGAAGAAGATTTTGTGACTCGGAGGGAACAGGATCAGACATGCTCTTCTGTCGACTCAGCGATATCCACGGATGTCCCGAATATCGATGACGAGATGACTGCGGGTGAGAAAGGATGGACCAAGCTCATGGCTGTTGGCTCCAGCCATCATTGGACCGGATAACCAGCGCTGGAAGTCTGCGTGCAGATGCAGACAAGGCCAAAGCGAAGGCAGCCAAAAGGCATGGAGAGAATTGCAAGAACCGATAGCGTCGAGACGTGGTAATATGGGGCGCAGGCGCACCAGGCGAGTGATTGCAAGGCTGGAAGTGGAGCAGGTTGTGGCAGAGCCTCAATTGGCCGGGCGGAAAGACTCCCTCTGCGCAAGCCTGAGCTAAGGCTGCGGCGCTTAAGAGTTTCGGGGGAGCAGGCCTGTTAAGCAGTGTGCTGCAGCCCTTGTAGCCCACCAGCCCCTAAGCCTATAACTATGCTTGCAGGTGCCCATTGTAGACGCCTACGAATATACATAAGTCCCTACAGTAGGCAGCTCGGCAGGCACTACCCTGGTTCCTGGGTAAACCTACTTACAGAGATCGTTGAGTTAGTTGTACAACTCTTACAGGCTTGCTTAAGCCACGAGGGCGTCAGTTAAATGGATTTCTGGGCCCCGGAGTTTTTCCCCTCATACACTCGATTAGAACACAATATAGGGGGGTGATTAGCTGCCCTACTTACATTAGGGAGACGCCGAGCAGCCCCTCCAGTACGGTTCAACCAAGTGCCTTTCCCTTTCCCAGGTATAACCATTGTGCTGGAATAGCGCCTAACCGCCAAAGCTACAAGATGCTGGAAATGATGTCCCGGACGCAGCAGGGGGACTGCCATGATGGAACCACCGGATTTCTGGCCCCTTGACATCCGGACGAGTCGCCTAGGCTTGGGCGTGAAGATCCCGTCACTCGCCTCTCTCCATTCGTACAGCCTGTTGTTGCTAAGGTGCCAACGCTACAGTTGACGGGCGACTACTGTACCTAGAGCTCTCTTAAGCACTCGACTTCGGATGCAGAATCTTGGATTGCCTGCATTTTTCTGGCCGGGCGGTGAGTGATTCTGGCCTCATTTCTTTCTCATTGCCCATCTCCATCCCCATCCACCATCCACCATTCCATTGCCTGCATTTCCTACCATTTCCTGCCCGCGACGCACATTTCCACCCTTCGGATATCAGGTCAACTTCAGTTGAGGCCACTGACAGATGTTGGATTCAACCTGTCTCAAATCCAATTCACTTCCCCTTCACCATCCGATACCTAGTCCATCGAGCTACTCGAAGCTAGCGGGAACATGAACCTCACCCTCATCTCACTCTGCGCTCCGTATCGCCAACCATGGATTTGTATATGTGCCTCTGCATTGTCCTTCGGGACCGCGATCCTCTCCCTCTCTCCTCTGTTGTCTGCTAGACATCTGACAATCAACATTTGTCAATTCAATCAGTTGCAAACTGCTCTCTGTGTCTTCCCGTCAAACTCAAGCCGGGCCTATCTCACAATCACTTCTTTTCCCCCTTCTGCTTTGTCGTCGACTTCTTCCAGGTTGACATCTATTTGCTTCCCCGTTTCACCAGACTGCTCTTTGTTCTGGACATCGCACATTTGAAATCCGACCTCTGACATTTGCAATTTTCCTGTGCTCTTGGGAGACGTGCCGGCTACGTGACGCGACGCTAGGCACGGGGACATCGTCAGGTCCAGTGACATATTTTAGCTGCCGTCCACTACTCCCTCCTTCCGCCTTTCCGCCTTCGCCCTTGACCTCCTCCACCAACAACAGCGCCGTCAGACTGCCATCACTAACAAGTACTTGTTACTCAGGGAGAGAGCTTCCTTGGCCGTCAGAACAGGTCCCCACCCATCACCGCTACTATTGACTGCGCCGCCATTCACCTGAGCCGTTTGTCTCGGCCCATCTCCAGCAAAAATTATTCCTCACACTCAGCTCACGGGCCATTACCGGACTACCGCGTTGGCCCAATCACTGTTGCAGTTTGTCACGCGACAGGACGGCGCAGCCCGCAAACAGAAAGGTGAGCCTTGATGAGCCAGATCTATCGAAAGCTGGGTTGAAAAGCCTTTGGGCCCTTAGCAGCGGCCACCGAAGGGGGAATAGACACCACACTAGCCGCCAACTGCACACCACACCATTCCACTATTGCACCGGACCAACAGACCACAAGACCACCAGACCACAACCATCCCCCGCCCCAGCTTTGTCGCCTCCCAGATCCCCCCCCGGCTCGATCGCCACCAGCAGGCCAACTCTCGAACTTACGTCGTCATTCTTCACACGTTCTCTTCGACACCTGCAAACATCACTTGTCCCAACGACGACAATCGCTCAATTTCGCTCCTCAACACCCTTTTCTTTCGTTGTTGTAATTGTTCCTTCCGTCTTTCGCTCAACCCTTTTCACGTCCATTTCCTTTTTTCCGGAAGAAGAGAACCCGTCGTCTCATACATTGCCTTCCGGTTCTCAGAAAATTTCTTCCATCGACCGAGGCGGCAGAGACAAGCGGACTCCTCCGGCACTTTGGTGGACGCGACGGCGAGACCTTCACGAGTCCAGCAAGACCTGTGCTTGTCCCCCTGATAAAAGGCGAGCCTTGAATTTTTCAAAATCTGTGATCCTGGGAGGCTTTCTCGATTTTGTTTCGCGAACATCTTAATTACTGTTGGGGGATTAGGTGAATAATATGCCCGCGGAGCCAGACTTGGATGCGATTCAAGCCTCTCTACGGGCCTTGAACTTGGCAAAATGGACCTACCCTGCCATTCTTCTCATCGTCTTTGTTGTCGCGTTTGTCTACCACGGCATCAAGACCGCGCCTGACGATGGAGGCAAAGTTACGATTCACCCAATGCGAGGTCCTGGTGGACGCCCTCTCCCAATCCGAAGGAGATCCGCCAATCAAGTCAAAGAAGCTGCGGCGGTAAAGGATCTATCACCTGCAGTCAAGACCGTTTTCAAGGTCGGTCAGGTCATTGTCATCTTAAGCTTTTTGGGCAACGCGGCGATTCTTCTTTTCGAGACCTTGCTCAATCGAAAAGATGAATGGTGGCCCGGGAAAAATGCCGTGGTATGTTCGCGTTCACTCAATATCATCCCGCACCGCAACTTACGACGTTAGATCTATGTTATAGCTTCAACATTCCTCTGGCTCGTGGTTTTCATCTCTATCCTGGATACAAAACCCTCCCCGAACTCGGCCCACTTTGTTACGTGGCTCAGCGCAGTGCCTTTGGAAGTCATCATAGTCGCAGCAAGCCTTCAAATATACACCGCGCCCCATTATGAACCTCGCGTAGGCAACCAGCAAGGAGGCAAGTATAGGGAAAGGATCACAGGATGGGAGACGTTGGAAGTCGTCGTCAATCTTGGCCGACTTGTTTTCCTCCTCGGCATGACTGTGCTCTTTCTCGTCCTCAAGTTCAACTGGGGGAGATCTAAGGAGCCAGCTTCAGCTTCCCAGGATGAGAGAAGCCCTCTGCTCGGCGGAGATTCAGAAGCCGGTAGACGTCCCAATGGCCATGCTCACCATGGAGACCACCCAAACAATCCGTCATCAGAACCTAAGGAGCAAGTCGACGCTTGGGCCAAACCAACTGAGGTTCCAAATATTACCTGGTTTGCATACCTCAGAGGGTTCCTCTTGCTGATACCTTATCTCTGGCCTAAAAAGTCCTTCAAATTACAGCTTCTTGCGGGCACCTGCTTTCTCATCATGATCAGTCAACGAGTCATCAATGTCTTTGTCCCTGTCATGGTAGGCAAAATTACAGATGCCCTGTCCGGCGACGATGGCGGCGGAATTCGAGCCCCTTGGTCGGATATCGCTTTGTACATCTTGTTCAGATGGCTGCAAGGCTCCCAAGGCATCCTCAGTGCCGCACGTTCAATTCTTTGGATTCCGGTGGAGCAGTACTCCTACCGGGCGATATCTACGGCAGCCTTCGAGCACGTCCATGGTCTGAGCGCGGAGTTTCACACCGGAAAGCGCACTGGCGAGTTAATTTCGGCCTTGAACAAGGGAAGTTCCATCAACTCTTTCCTCGAAATGGTGACTTTTCAAGTCGGACCGATGGTCTTTGATCTCGTGGTTGCGGTCGTGTATCTCACTATCAAGTTCGACGCATACCTCGGTTTGGTTGTCGCCATTGTGACATTTCTATACATCTATGTCACTATCCGTCTTGCGTCGTGGCGAGTCACCTTGCGCCGGAGTTACGTCAATGCTCAACGAGAGATGGAAGCAGTAAAAAACGACTCTCTGCACTCTTGGGACACCGTGAAATACTTCAACGCGGAAGATTACGAGTTTAACCGGTACAGATCCTCGATCAAGGCCATGCAGAACTTCGAATATTGGGTAGATGTCACCTTGGCCTACATGAACACGGTGCAGGGTGCACTCTTCATGATTGCACTGCTGATCGCCAGTTTCATCGAAGCATTTGAGGTTGCACAAGGTGACCAGACTGTGGGTAACTTCGTGCTTCTGATAACCTACATGGCCCAATTGCAGGGCCCTTTGAATTTCTTCGGAACCTTCTACAGATCAATCCAATCAAACCTCATCAACGCAGAGAGGATGCTGGAACTTTTCAAAGAACAACCGCATGTTGTTGACCGCGAGGGTGCAGAGACGCTAAATGAATGTTCTGGTGACATCATATTCGACAATGTGAGCTTCAGTTACGATAAACGAAGACCTGCCCTTGACCGATTGTCTTTTCGCTGTCCGCCTGGATCGACCACTGCTCTTGTTGGTGAATCTGGTGGTGGTAAAAGCACTGTGATGCGATTGATTTTCCGCTACTATAACCCAGACTCCGGGCAGATCAAGGTTGACGGCAGAGACGTCCAAGACATTACCATCGACTCACTGCGGAAGTTCATTGGGGTAGTGCCTCAGGATTGCAACATGTTCAATGAGTCGATCATGTACAATCTTAAGTACGCCAATCAAAACGCATCGGATGAAGAGATTTTCGATGCTTGTAAGGCAGCCTCGATCCATGACCGAATCATGGAGTTTCCCAACGGCTACGACACGAAAGTTGGGGAACGAGGTGTGCGTCTTTCTGGAGGAGAACGTCAACGGGTTGCCATAGCCCGGACAATCCTCAAAAACCCACGCATCACCATGCTTGACGAAGCCACTGCAGCTCTAGATACTGAGACTGAAGAGAAGATTCAAGAGTCTTTCAACACTCTTGCCGAGGGACGGACGATGATCATCATCGCCCATCGACTCAGCACCATCGTGAATGCCAGCCAGATCCTGGTACTTTCTCATGGAACCGTGGTCGAAAGCGGTACGCACGAAGAACTCATCGCGCTGGGTGGCAAATATGCAAGCATGTGGCGGAAGCAATCTCGGGCGCAAAAGGCCGCCGCCGAGGCCGCCGCGCTGAGGACTCGGGCGAAGAAGGCGTTGGAAGAGGCAGAGGCCGACAGCGCCAGTGTCAGTGAAGAAGAGGTTGAGCAATCGAAGAAGCGGGACAAGGGTCAGTGGTCCAGAAGCCATAAGAGAGTCAATTTTAGTGAAAGCAGTCATCTCCGGGCGAACTGGACGGTGGACGAGCACGATCGAGATCGAGACGGTGACGATCGATCAGACAGCTCCCAGACGGGGCATGGAGATGGCGGGCACGGCCATTCCGGAAAGCCCCCAGGACATCCTTGAAATACCACCAGGTTGCCGCAAGCTGTACCTGATCAGCTCCAGGTCGGCCTTGCAACATGCAGCCAAACATCCTTCTCAGGTCTTATTTCTTTGATTCTTTTTTGTTCGTTTCTGCACAGAAGTCTCGAACACACTTGTGATTGGACGACCAAAATAACGCCTGCCATGCGACGGTTTCACGACGGACGGAACGATTTAGGGTTGCAGTATGCGACCTGACGGTACAAAAGTCTTTTGTTTTGCTCTTTTCTTTTCGGATATCTCGGGTTTGTCAAGATCTTCATCTTGCTCGCGCAAGCACATATGAAAAGAGGTTTTAGCCTCGCGGCCTTGGGCTTGGGATTTGATAGTGGGAGTGAGGCAGATGGATGCTCCCGCGGGAGAGGGAGACTTGGTGTGTGTGTTTGTGTTGTGGGTGTTTTGCTCATCATCTCTCCACTACGATCGAAACAGCGTTCGAAACAGCGTACACTACCACAGATTGGATACATGAATGCAGTGCGTTAGATCAGCGTCGTAACAAGCAACTCTTGGTTTTCGTTCCTTTGTGGAAACTGTTCCCAGTCCAGCCCGGTCAAGTCGGCGCAATCCAATTTCCGTAGCTGCGTTTCACGTAATACCTTCTACCTACGAACTTCCATGCTTTTCGCAATCTTATCCTATATGCTAGCTACATTGCACACCTCCGTGGAGTTCTATATTCTTCACTCACTCGGTACAGGCTTCGCCTGTCCGCTGCGTCCAATGGTGGGGTGTTGGTCATGACCATTTCACTGCACTGTGGTTATGTGGAGTTTGTATTCCGTATTCCTGGTTCCAGCGCATGGGCAGAATCTTGGCCGGGCTGGATCGAATCGGATCGATACGTTGGCATCGGCATCGGATCCGAGACGAGGACGATGATGAGGATGGAAACGAGGACAAGGAAGAGCCAGAACCAGAGTTAAAACCGGCGCTTCTTCTTCCCACCGTCCGTCGCTGCGATCGTGCGCTTCAGTTCCATCCGGCGCCGACTTGCGGCTTCTTCGGCCGTTTCCTCTTCCTTTGCTTCTTCTTCTTCTCCTTCCACTACAGGCTCCTTGCGGGTTGATAGACGTGGTGATTGGCGTCCTCCGTGTCCTCTAGATACTACACCCACCAGCTTCTGGCGCGAGGGCGAAGCAGGTGGAGACGGAGACGGAGAGTTCGTTGCGTTCGAGGAGTCGTCAACGATGCCGGCGTTGTCCCGCACTTTTGGCGATGCGGTGGCTGTTGTCTCGCGGTCCCTCTTGCGGAGACCGCCGAGTCGACCTAGTTTCCTCCTTGTAGGAGTCTGCGTCTCAGGGGTCTCATCACCCTTTGGCGTCTCGTGTGGCTGCGGCGAGGTGCTCTTTGATGGCGTTGCTTGTTTCTTCCCTCCGAGGCGACCTAGACGGCGCCTTTCCGGCGCTGGCGTTGCAGGCTTTGCTTTCGGTGGGGAGGGAGATGGGGATGAGGTTGGGGTTGATGCGCGGTCTAGATTGTCATCTGCCGCTTCCTCTTCCTCTAGGGTTAGAGATACCCGAGGGGCCCGCGAATTGAGGGAAGTGGGCCCTCCGTTGTAAGTTCTTCCTTCAGAAGAGGTGGATGGCCTCGATTTCCGCGCTGGTGGTGCCGGTGATGACAGTGAAGGTGTCGGAGAAACTCTTCTTGGTCGCAGTACGCCAAGTTTGGATTTCTGCGTTGAGCGACTACTCTTACTTTGCGGTACGGAAGGTGGCTGGGGTCCTTCGTTATCGGTACCATTATCCTCTGAACCTGTTGCTGTAGCTGTCGAGGCTGTGGAGGCCCAACGACGTGAAGGAGACTTATTCTTGGCAAAAGGGGCTGGTTCTGGGGGGCTCTTTGAAGCGCCCAAGGCTTTTGTAGCATTTCGTCGACCTAGACCGCCAATTGCGGAGGATTGGGCTTCTTTGGGAGCGGATTCGTCCTCCTCGGTCTCCTCGTCATCTGTCGCTGCTCGTATCGCCCTTTTCCCTCCAGCACCTTTGAACTTCAAGTGTGGTGGAGTTGCTTGACGCTATGAAAGGGTTAGTCACAGAGGCGATTAGGTTTTCAGTGGGGACATTTACCTCGAACTCGTCATCTGTTGTCTCTAGAGCTAAATCTGGTTGCAAAGAGGCAGTGTTTGTTGATGGCGACCCAGGTTGGTTCTTGCTGGTAGCATTTAAATTTTGATTTTCCATGGAAGGAAGGTCTTTCACCCAGCTTTCATGCTCAGCTCTAGTGTGCATGAAGCATTTCTCACAGCCCCGAACAAGGTTAGTCAACCCTGTCCGATCTGCTCCCTCGTAACCATCATTGTTGGCGAATTGTGTCGTCCACGATTTCTCATCGAAGCTGGACATCCCAGGGACATGCTTCTTTGCATCCGCGACGGACACATGGCCGCCTTTGCGTGAAGCAAAGCCCGTTATACCTGGGAAGACCAAGCTCAAGTCAACGGCCGAGTTGCCGACTCTCTCAAGCAGGCGCGAGATGACGTGGTCTTTGTCCTTGATGATTCCGAGCAAGGAATTGATCTTGTTCTGGGAGACAAAGACTTCATGCAAGCTGGGGCGGAGGATGCGTTCTGCCAACTCTGATGCTGCCTGGGGATCGAGGGTGAATGTCCACTCAAGGGGTCGGAGAGGGCGGGGAAGAGCTATCCTCGTCCGTAACAACAGCGCCTGCGAATTTCCGCGGCCGTCGCGAATGATGGAGTTCTCACCGTCGCTCAGACTTTTGCGGATCTTGGAGAGCAGTATCTCGAATTGGTCAGATGAGACGGATGGATCGATGCTCGTCTGCTGTCGAGCTGCTGCGGCGAGGATGTCATATTTGTCCAGCGAGCATTCCCAAATAGAGATCAAATCGGTTAACAGAAGCGTGAGCGACTCTTTTTTGGTGGAGAAGGAGTAGAATAGCTTGGGGCATTGACGACGAGACCCAGTTTGGAGTTCTTGCCAGCCTTCACTCTCTAAACCAGGCATTTCGAGAAGCCAAAGCCGTTCACATACTGTTGCTGAACGAGACCTCGGGGATGATAATTGCCGGGCAGCCTTGTCTCATCTCGAGCCGAATCCACTGATGAGGCTACGAACTTGAAATCATCAAGCGATGAAAGCCATAATAAAGTCACGGAGGCGGTTACGCACTAGCCAATAGGCACTGGCCTTGGCAGACTGGCAGGGCAGTCTTTTGTTTGACCTCGACCTTTTCTTGACTTCCCTTCTCTCTTTCTCCTCTCTTTCTGTGGTAAAGCTTTAATTTTTCTGGAAATAACAACAATCCGGGCAAGGCCAGTCTACCCCGGCGCTTTCTCTGTATCTGCTACAAGTAGTTCCTCGCGGTTGGGTGGCCATTATTTGAGATGGCAGAATCTGTTACCGCCGACCGTCGCTGGTCAAACAGGGCCACCCAAGGGCCGTTTCAGGGTTGCTGAGGGCAGCGGCTATGCAGTTTGCGCATGCACTGTACGCCATTTACCATGCGTATTGTCCAGAATGGCTACCACAAGGAACTAGGTTGCTGGTCAGGGCCCTGGTGCCCTGCACACAGTTCCAGGTAGGTCATAAATATGTGCCGGAAGAGCAGTGGTGGAACATCTGGCCCCCGTCAACGCCACCTGTGTCCGGCTGCTATCCTCCGTGAGACAGGTCTTGTATGTCATATTTGGCCGCTTCCATGTACAGCTTATTCTGGATTATCGCCAGTCTCACCCTCGAGGGTTCCTCCGTCGGACCACAGCGAGTTGCCTTGACTACTCAACGCTCACAATGTCGGAAAAGCACTATGGGAATGTTATTGTCAACGAAATCAAAGACTTCCAGAGGCTCCGCCATATCCACTGGCGAGCACCAACTGTGATGGGTGCCGGTTTTCTAGGCGGCGTCGTTCTCATGACATCCCACCACGCAATCTACCAGAGCCTTAGCGGAGAGCCTGCAGACAACGCTCTGCTGCAGCTGTGGGCTATTCGTGCAGGCACAGCGCTCGCATTCCTGTCGAAGCTCTGTCTGGCTATTGGGACGGGAGTCGCATATGATCAATGGATGTGGGTCAACTTGCATTCGAAACCGCACGAAATTGGCTCACTGGACTCCATGTTTGCGATATTGGGCAATGCTTTCGAGTTTTTGGCTGTTCGTATATGGTGGCGGCGTCCTGTTCTTACCTTTTTGGCGGCTATGACCTGGTGAGACTCCTTGCTTCTAACTATCCGAGTTGATCCTGACCAGCTCAGGCTTCTCCCCATCTCTGCCATCATCACTCCGGGAACCCTCTCTGTGCAGCCCGTATTAGTCTCCCAAAACGGCACTTTAATTGTTCCTCAACGGCCTTTCACAACTGACAGCAATGCCTTCTGTGGCGTGATAAGTGACGGCAACACGACAACCTACGCCTCCATGGCAACCGGCCTATCAAATCCGACATTCGCCACGGTTCTCTCCAACAGTGTTCTCCCCCTGGAGTCATCCAGCACGAATTTGACCTTCAAGTTGCAATTCTTTGGCCCCGCTGTCACTTGCAACATGTCGAGCAGCGAAGAATTTTCCTGGGCGAAAAGGGCCATACTTGAGTACGAGACCATGACGGACACCAGGGTATTTTACTATGGCTGGGCGCCTCAGCCCGGGTGGGGTCCTGATGTGAATGGCTCTTTCTTCGCGTCCACAGATTTGCAGATCGGGAACAATCGACTAGATTTTGTCTCGAAGGACGCGGCCCGAGTGTTTATCTATCTCAACACCACAGGTGTCGATGAGACGGGCAACCGTATTCCTGGATTCGACGGCAAGGCGGAGGCGCAAATGATAACTTGTGCATTGTACAATGCGTCGTACGATGCGCACTTCGCGGTGAAAAGTACTGGCGCACAATTCATCACTGCCTTCCCGCGGTTTGAGAATTGGATGCCAGCGCTCAGCACGATGGAGGGCACGCTAGAGGATCCACGTGTCCGTCAACAGATGAACATGCAAGCCGTCATGGAGTCCTTTGTCATGATGGTCAATGGCCCCATCACCTACTCCAATGATATCTCCTTTCCGACGATCAACTCGGTCTATGGCCTGGCAATGAACAAAGCCTTGTTCCCCGCTCAGCCCGGGCTGAATCAGACGGCACTGACGCTCCGTCAAGCGAAGCAGAACGAGATGCTCTTTCAGAACATTACGCTGAGTATGCGTTATAGCGTCGTTTCCGGGTATGTTTGACGCGTATATATACGCACGTCCATATTTGTTTGCTCTGCTCGCAGAACTAGAAGCCGACTGATTCACTGACCATTGAATGCAAAAACAGGTCCGTCGGTGACGACCAAACAGTCGCTGCAGCGGTGCGACAAAGATTCGAATCGCAATTCGTCTATGAGCCGCGCACACTACTCATAGCATATGGACTCGGCGCTTTCTTCGCGCTGATCTGTGTCCTGTTGGGCGTGCACGCTCTACTTCACAACGGCGCTTCGTACACAAATTCGTTTTCGACAATCGTGAGAGTCACGAGGGATCCGGCTCTGTCGAGGTTGATCGCAGAAGAAGGCGATCTTCAGGGCGCCGAGCCCGTGCCGAAACATATTCGCAGGGCAGAACTGCGATTGGGGAGGAGTGCGAAATCGCTTTCGCCAAGCTACGCTTCGAGCTGGATTTGAGGAGGCATCACGATAATCAGTGATCCGATGACACGACACAACACGGATTGTACAAAGGTAGCATATGCGTATAGTTGTATTGTGGGATATACCACGACTTTTTCTTACTTATACCACCATGTCTGGTGGCGGTATGTAAAAATCTCCGAGCTCGTTGAATAGCGAGTCCCAGTCGATCAGATCGCCGCCCGAGTACTCGAAGGACAGGTTGTCTGGGTACGCCTGCGTGGCGAACTCGCCAGAAAGCGGCGTGCGATCACTCGCGGCAGCGAGGCGCTCACTCAAAGACTGAGCAGGCTTCTCAAGGCCGAATTGCTCCTTCAGCCGCCTTATGGTGTCCCACATGATGCTTGACGCCATCCTCGACTTCGTTCTCAATGCGAAGCCATTCCCTTCTCTCTTTAGCGGATGCTGGCTGAGGTAGGAAATGGTAGTGCAGGTTCTCGTCAGGTAATCATGCTCCGTGACCGTGCATGCATGAAGTGTATTCCAGGCTTGGCCGATTGCCTTTCTCGTAGCGGCGAGGTCGACTAGGGGGTGCTCGCTGTCTCTCAGCATTAGGAGGAAGAAGGTGGCCGCGATGAGGGATTCTTTTGTGTGCACGCTCCAGGAGATTATTTCGTCTTCGGCATTATTGGCGATGTTGATGAGCTTCAACCCCGTTGCGAGAGCTGGGCCGATGAACTCGTCTACATTGGAGTGCCGGCCGTTTTCACTGGTGGTGTTTGAAGAGGTGATTGCATAAATATAGAGATTCAGCTTAGATCCGAGAAATAGCACCTCCTCGTGAGGTGACCATAACAGGCCAGATGTCGATTCCATCAAGGAGAATTCTTTTTCGAACATGTGGATGGCTGATATCGAGCTTTGGAGGACCCCCGCCGGGCTGAGGTCGGAATTGCCCAGGGTAGTGTTTGTTCGGTACGACAGATACGCGATCTGAAGTTGCTGCTTGAGTCTGGAGGGGATGGCAGAAGAGGGAGATGATAAAGCTTCAAGGATGGTGTGGTCGATAGGAGTGGTGCACGGCACACCGATTCTGCGGCTTGCCCTGGTCACATTAGCAGACAATCAGATATCATGCAGAGGCATACATCTCATTAACAATGAAGCAGGCAATCCATGCCTTCCTTCGAGGCACAATAGCATCTTCATCGAATTTCGAGCCGTATATGAAATCGTTGCTATATTCGGGTCGATGCAGGCCAATTTGGAGGGCTGCGTGGGTGGCAATCCCACTGTAGGTCCATGAAAGGTCTGTCCAACTTCGGTCATCACCTCCTGCCCAGGTGCAGAGGAGCAACAGAGCCTGGATCATTTCAACGGACCGGTTTGCAAGGTACTCGGGACTTAGGACCAGCCTCTTGAGCGGCTGGCTTAGTCTGGAGTACAAGCCGGCGTGCTGACGGCATTTTGCAGATACCAGGATAATGCTCCAGAACAGAGGAGGCCATTTCTTTGACGACCTCAGCGTGATCGAGGGTGCCGACAAGATGGGAAATCGCGGGTGGTGGTGGAGGTAGTAGCTTTATGGCAGAATTAGAGTGAAATGCTGAATGACTTTGGACGAAACCCACCGCTCAAACAACTCAACGATGGAACCAGGCTGGATTGTGATATCTTCCAGATTTGCTGGGTCGAGTTCTCCGACACAGTTTGCGAAAGGGAAAGTAGTGAAGTCCTCCTCGCCGCCAGGTTGCCGTGCTTGTGGTTCTGTTGACGCTCGATCAGAAGCAGACGGTGCATGTTCCAGCTTCTGTTTCGCCAGGAGCAGCTCCTCTTCCAGCCTTTCAATACGTCTAGGATCGAGTTAGAAAGTAACATCGAGAAGACGCGACTGACTTACTCCTGGCGCTTTTCCCGCCGAAAGGAAGAATCGATCAGGCATCGCGCTCCCGTCCTGCTGCATCGGCTGCAGGGAGCAGGGAATGTTTGGCTGGAGTCACATTTCAACTGCACGCGAGGTCAATGACTTAGCCGCATCTTGCATCGTGGGAAGAAGCCGCACTGGACACCAACGCGTTCTGTGTTCAGCCTACCTTCAACTGGCGGCACTGAGTGCAAGCCGGGCCCTTGTTTCGAGACTTCTGGATCTTGTCCACGGTCTGCATGATGGAAAATCAACCATGTGACATAAGAATGGAGAAGGCATTTCGGTGGCATAGAAGCAGACGAGCCAAGAGGAACATCCCAAAACACTACATGTTCGTTAAGAAGGGAGGTTGTGGTGTGAGCAAAGTGTGAGCTCTTAAGTTGGCGAGCTGGGCGAGTTTGAAACCGCGGCGCCGAGGTTTAGCCATGGAGCCATCAAGCGCTTTGCCCGCCCAGCCCGCCTTTTTTTTATTCCACTAGGCAACAAACCCGCCTTTTGCCCGCCACAGACTGCACCTTGCAGTGACAACCACCATTACAATCAGTTGTGGACTCAGTCGAGGTTCATCCCGCGAAAATGAGCGACCTTCAGCACTCTCACAAGAGAAAACGATCTCAGTCCCCCCCTCCATGGCGAAGGAGTAACGACGCCAGACAATATCGAGAACGGGATGCTCCGGGAAGGCGAGACAATGGCCAACCTCAGCGATGGTCTCATAAGGACCAAATGAGAATTAATCAGATGCAAGAAGATGAGCGCATGAGAGAGTGGGTCGCGCAAGAGGATGATTTCGTTCTCAGGCAGGCTAAGAAGAAGGCAGACATCCGAGTCAAGGAAGGACGAGCGAAACCCATCGACTGGTTGGCAGTAACCCTCCGTGTTGTCGACCCTACCCGGAATCCTTTGGATGATGAGGTCGATGAGAAAGACTTGGATTTTGTGGATCCAGACAGTGTCTTCGACGGGCTCTCCGAAAGCCAGCTTTCCGACCTGCGCAAGGATATTGAGACCTACATGAAGTTGGAGACAAACAAGAAAAACAGGGACTTTTGGCAGACAATGCAGATCATTTGCAAGGATAGGCAAAAAAAGCTACGTGCGTCAGGTCCAGAAGGAAGAGCAATGAGCTCCGTGGCAACAGACATCGACAAGCTCCTGGCACCAAAAACACACGAGCAGCTGGAGGTGTTGGAGGGACAAATAAGAACCAAGCTGGACTCGAACGAGCCTATAGATACGGATTACTGGCAGCAGCTGCTGGATAGCTTGCTTGTTTGGAAGGCCAAAGCGAAGCTCAAAAAGGTCTGCCAGGATGTTCTCGAATCGCGGTTGAAGAACCTCAGAGGAGAGAACGAGCAGAAAGCGCTCCTGGTACAACATCAACTTCGGAATGCCGGAGGAGAGCCCGCAGCTCCCGTCCAGTATTCAAAGGACCTGGATCCAGATCCGTTGCTGGAGATTGCAACGAAAGACAAAGGCCTGGAAGTCCAGGATGAGAGTGCATTTCTTCAAAACGTGGCGGCGAGCAGAAGGAAAGTGGTACACATGGGGTACGTCCCAGCGCCGAAAGCGGGTGCCGCCACGACCTCGACAATCTCGACCGCAACACAGCCTCGTCTGGGGGTGCAACAGCCCAAAGCCATTGATCCCACCAGCCGATTTGGCCAGTCGACAGACGATATGTCCTTGACTACAAAAGCCCTCTTCGACCGCGAAGTGGCCAAAGGCGTCAACGAAAACGAGGAAATCTTTGCTGGCGAGGAAGAGACCTCGTCCGAATCCAAGCCACTCTGGATGCAGGAATATGGCGGCAAATACCGACCCCGTAAACCGAAATACTTCAACCGGGTCCTGATGGGCTACGAGTGGAACAAGTACAACCAAACACACTACGGCCATGATAACCCTCCGCCGAAAGTCGTCCAGGGATACAAATTCCACATCTTTTATCCCGACCTGATCGACCCGACAAAGGCACCCACGTATAGAATCATCCGCGAAGGAGGGAGGAAGAAGGGCCAAAGGATGGCTCCGGCGGGCGAAGAAGATACTTGCATCATTAGATTTATGAGTGGGCCGCCATATGAAGATATAGCGTTTAGGATCGTGGATCGGGACTGGGATTACAGTGCGAAGCACGACAGAGGGTTCAAGAGCACATTCGAAAAAGGGGTCTTGACTCTGCATTTCACTTTTAAAAGGGTGGTGTATCGGAAGTGATGGGGATGTGAGATCTTGCATCCGCAGAGATATGCAACAGACTGCGAGGCACGTTGCTGAGGCCAGTGAGGCCCGGGGCTGATGAGGCTGAGGACTGTCCAGGTGCCTTATGTGAGGCGCCCCAAAACTCGAGCTGACAACACTGCTGTAATAACTTTTTCGCATGACAAGGGTGCTGGTTATCTGCCTGACTTTTCTTATTATGTGCTCGGCGTCCGACCGACTTAATTAGGTACATAGGGAAGCCAGAAAAGTGTTGGTGATCTGGTTAATTAATTCATCAATGCTCCATGGACCATGACGATTTAATCGAGCAAAGTCGGCCTGAGAAACTAAACTGTCATAATGTCATACCCGTCTGTGTATTGTATTGCCCACCGCTAGTTTGTCCCCTTCATCCCACTCGACTCGTCTTCCTCTCAGGTTTTCCTTCAACGGAGGCGGGGAGGGAAGGCGAGTGACAAAGCCCGACCGAGCTTTTTTTTTTTTGCCCTCGTAGCATTTGTACCTAGGGAGGCAGCGAGTTAGGTACATGGCGAGTAGATACCGAGGACTTGTACTCTTGACACAGATCCGTCAATCATCAAGGGGGCCCCGTCTCGCGCGCTCGGTCCACTCGTCTCAGGGTCCCGCCCTATGACGTACCTACGTCGTCAAGTCGAACTTCCGAGTCCTACGTCCGCATATACTCGGTAGCGAGGCTGGTATGAGCAACCCAGCTTGGGGCGGGCGAGCGGGCAGGGGAGAGAGTGAGCCAGCTCGCCAGGTAGTTACATAGTTGTAAACCAAGAAGAAAAAAGAACACCAGAAAAGATAATACCACAATGAGTCAGCAAGATCCAAGTTAGATCCAGATTGCAGATGCAGCAACCGTTGAGGGGGCGCCTCAGTCCTGTCTTCCTGAGAAGGTCCCGGGATGGAGCGGGTCTGGTTTCCCAAGCTCGGCCGTAAAGGGAGAGACGATATTACCTGGATGAGGGACGGATGTTGTGTTGGCGGTTGTCGTTGGCGAGCTGACAAAGCGTGCTTCGGGCAGAGAATTGCGGTGAACGACCGCACAGTCTTTGCTGAGGGGCCGTATCGTGTGTCAGACTCCTCCCTTTCCATTGCTAGGGAGTGTGCTGATGGACGAAGGTCGGTTGGAAAATGAGCATGGGGTTGTTGCCCAGGATTCTCAAATGAAGAAGCACGCGACATCAAGATGCTTGGTGCTTGATGCTTGATGCTTGATGCTTGATGCAGTCTATCGAACTTGGAGAGACCCGTCGAGAAAGAGGGATCGATGTCATTATGTTTATTATCTTCGTAGAACCTTCAGAGTGTCAGTCTACATGTAACGTCGACTCTTCTTCGCCTCGGACCCCCGCTCCTTCTTTCGGATCTCACATGCAAAAGGGGATATGCAATGCAGCACGCTCGAACGAGTACCAAAAAGCATTCAGGAACACGGGCTTTTGAAATACATATCCATCACTTCGGGCTAGACGCGATCAGACCAAACGCGCACCATTCCATTAAATGTAATCAATAGAAATAGTAGTACAGATGAATCCGAAGGGCAAATCACGCCTCCGCATCTGGGCTCGGCTCTTTCGCTGTCTCGCGGTCAGAATCGGTTGGCTCGAGTTTCTTTTCTTTGTGGAGCTTTTCGCCAGGCTCAATGCCACAGTCTTCCTCCCACGTTGTGGTCTCTCTGTGCATATCTCGTCGGACCCAGAGGATGGTGATGGCGGTCCAGATGCCGATCCAGACAAAGGGGACACCCCAGCCTGACGCCCACATTAGTGATCGTTCTTTCATAGGAGATATCCTTGGGTCAGAACTTACCAATTCCATAAGCCACGTCCTTGGGTACGGGATGGATGCATACAACCACCGTGCAAGCTATAGCAACCAGAAGTCCCGCGACAGACCAGAACAGAGACTGCACTAGAATCATCCTCCGGAACCGTGGGCTTGCTCGGTACCGCGCAGCCAAAGCTTCACGGAAAGGTCTGCCGGCGTTGGCATTAACGGCAACGACATCCTCAATCAGATAGTACGCTCCAGGGTAAACCACGCCGCCCTTCTCGGTGGAGCTGATACGGAAAGGCGCCTTCCTGCCAGCTAGACTCCACATGGTGAGTACGAATATACTGCCGGCAATGCAAAACACAAGTGCTGGGGCAGGCATGGAAAGAACCCGCAGCCAGACAATGTGAGGAGCACTGCCGACAATAAGCAGCGCAGTGACAGCGGTGATGGTCAGGACCGAAATCCAGTGGGTGATGTCAAAGGCCCATCGGTTCGAGGTGCCCAAGGGCCGGAAGAAGTTCTCCTTCTTCCACAAACGCCAGCTCCTCACACCGAATTCGATGTATGTCGGGCCACCCCAGATGGTAGCCACGACGGCGAAAACTATGATGGATATGTTAGCGAGGGAGTTGCAGCGAGGTGTCAAGGGATTTAGCCTACTTATCCAACCTTGTACGTGGCCTGCGAATTTCATGGTATAGAACAAGACAATAGGAATAACACAGGCGTCCACAATGATCGTGAATATCGTCAAGAACAGCTTCCACCTCCGCCACCCGTGTCTCCATGTGAAAGGCAATTGTGGCAGGAGGGTAGGATGTTGGGAATAGTATTCTTGCAGCGTGCTCGCCCGTCTTCTGAATTCTCTCTTGGTCGCAGCACGACTGTCGTAGTATGCATCTCTCTCCGGCTCCGTTTTCCGCTCTCTCCTGGCTTGTTCTCTGCTCTTTCTGCGTTCAGAGGCAGACATGTTGCTGAGTCCGGTATCGACTGCTCTCAGACCTGGTGTCGGAGTCTCCTCTCGCTCGCCAGGGCTTCCTTGGCCGAAATGGACACCCCGGCCTTCTCGTATGGGAGTGGAGGGTGCCGCTCCATCATGCGACGCACGACTGCGCTCTAATTGAAAACTGGCACGACTGCCTCGGACGACTTCGGGCATGGCGGCTGAGTATGCTTCGACTGGGTAGAGAGGTCTAAGATGGAATACTTGTTAGAGGAGAGAAGATGGTCGTCATAAGCAATGCTTGCAAGAAGGAAGGTGAGGAGGTATGAGGGCGAGCCTCCTTGCCCGGCGAGAAGAAACCGTGAGGCCCTAGGAAGGTCGCGGAAGGAGATTGAACGCTTCTGTCATTCAGCGCAAATGAGTGGAGAGATAATAAGTCAGGGTACTGCCGCTGATGGATTAGTCCCCAGACCAAGAAGTGCAGTCGAGTGATTGAAAAAGTGTACTTGTATGGAGTTTATTTAATTGGCATTTCCCCGAAAAAGGCTCCTTCCGGGGCGTCACGGGCTATCGCAGAGCACAGTAAGCAAAGTCAGCTCGCGTTGACTGACGTCGGCGGCCCCTCTCAGGCGGTGATGTGGATTGGTTGGCAACGGGTGATAGAAGCAATCAGCTGGGTGGCCCGGAAGGGAGGCTCCCGGGCATGCGGCCTCCAGCAACATTTGGGGCCAGGAGCCCGAACATAAAAGTTGCTTGGCGTCACGTTGTGAGCATCTGACCGTTGCCAAGGCCATGGAGCCGCTGTTTCCTATACTTCGCAGTACCGCGTACGGTGTACCTTATCAGTCAGATGTGCAAACCAAGTCATTCTCACGACACGTTCCTGGACGCCATCTTCAAGTACCTCAACTTTGTACATTGTCTTCATGCCACCATTCGGCCGACCTGGTACTCATTGGAGCCGTGCCGCAGGTTTCTGTCTCCTTGATGCAGTACCTCTTTTATGCTGGAAGCTGACAACGGTTGAAATCTTCCAACAAGCGGCACCCCTTGTATCAGAAAGACTTCGCCTCCTGTCGAATGCTAGACTCCGGGACTGCTCGGTCACGCCTTTCTGGTGGCCACATTGGTTTGCATACATCTCCTCGGATGCGCATTAAGATCCCATTCATGACTACGGGGAGCGCGACACCTCTCAGACATCGACCACTGACTGGAATGAAATGAACTATCAAGTCTAGATATACCTGGGCACACAACGAGATGATACCCAAGCTATCGGTAAATTGATATCTCTGAGCATTCCGGCAAACTCAGCTTGACGGCCGTTGTATATACAACATTCCTGCTCCATTGAGCGTGGAGTCCACCGGTACAACTATCCGGCAGCCTTGTCTCATCCCAGCTAGGTCATGGCTCTCACTTCTGCTTGTTCGCCGATTAGCTGATCCTAGGTCTTGTGGTCCTTCCTTCAGCATATGGTGTGGCTTGTTTAATCGTCAACCCCTCTGTGCCATCACAGAAGCAAAGGAGGGAAAAAAAACACAAAAGTCAAATTTTCCTGCTGCAGGATGAGAGGGTGGAGCACTGCAGGTTGGCATTTGAGGCCCAACCAGATGCACTCTTCCGAACATGACAGCCTGTTGAGCCACATCTAGTTGCACAAAGAGCACTGCAAACCGTCCCAAATCTGATTGGATAGGAGACCCTTCAGAATTCCGGATTGCCTCTGGAAAGATGTGATACAGTACTTTACTGTACTAGCATGCAGCTGGTGCGTCCAGGCGTCTTCTCCTACAGCAAAAAGGATATGAAAGGTCAGTCCATGAACCCTTCTGTTTGCGTTCCGGCGCCTGTTCCTTCCACCCCTTCCTACCCCTGCCTGTTTGCATGGTTGCCCCCCTTCTTTCAAGCATGTACCATGATATGCGCCTTTAAAACCAATTGCTTGTTCTAAATAATACTATTTCCCACCTTTGACTTTTCTTTGTTTTTGGCAATTAATCCTTAAGCACCGGCCTCTCCTCCTGTTCGTCGCGATCAAAGTCAATGATCCAAGATCTCATCGTCCTCTGCCACTTTCCCCTGATTTGGACAGCATTCACGTCAGGTCCATTCCTCGCCACCGACCTACACAAGTCTCCGTGAAGAAGTTTCTGTCGCCTATCACTCGGCTCGCATCTTCCGAGAACCCAAAATGGGCAGAGTGGTGGAAATGGAAGCTGAGACCTCAACTCATCACCATGAGGCATATGGCAATTTTGGAGATTTTGAACTTTCAAACATCATGACTGGGGCGTTCGAGGAGCAAAATTTGCAGTCACCGTTTTCAGCAATCTCGCACCTTCAGATGCATCATAGTCAACAACATACAGACGTCCATCCACTGCTCCAGGTGGAGACTGTGGACGACATTCCCTATGAAAACTTTCATCTCCATCACGAGCATATCTTCCCGGCAAGTGCCCAACTCCAACTTTCCGACGTCGATCTAGACCCGACTTGGACATCCCATCCTTATCCGCAATTCATCAGCAATACTGTCGGACAACCCGATGATTTCAGTGGCCTTCCGCTGTTTCCATACACAGCAGATCCGGTGGGCCCCCCTCTGTCAGCCTACCAATATTATGAAGAGCAGAATATCTGGCCTTCGTCTGACGAATACAGCCAGTGCAGATCTTTCACCACAACGGAAGAAGATGAAGACGCAGTTGACGACAAGCCGTACGCCCGACTCATCTACGAAGCTCTGATGCAGGCACCGGGCCATAGGTTGATGCTCAGAGAGATCTACGAATGGTTTCGCCACAATACTACTAAACCTCAAGAGTCTGGATCAAATGGTTGGCAGAATAGCATTCGGCACAACTTGTCTATGAATAAGGTTAGCAACGTATAGTCCCGGGACTATGCGCATCCCCGACTAACCATGCACATAGGCATTCGAAAATGACAGGGATAGCGCAAAGGGTAGCGTGAGAAAAGCTACTAGCGTCTGGATGCTGACCGATGAGGCGATCAAGAATGGGGTCCAGTCTACCACAAGGTATCGCAAATCTGGAGCAGGCAAAAAGACACTGCGGGGCCGCATACCAGCCATTCAACGTCAAAGAGCGGGAGCAAAAGGTGGGCGAGCAGCGCGGCATTCAGCCAAAAGGAGGTATCAAGAGCAGGGTGCTTTCACTGACTCGACACCAATGGCAAGCCCCTCGACCACATCGTACTCCGACTACACCGACTACCAAAGCTTTGACTCCCTGGATCCACGACCCGCAGCGAGGAGTTGGCCGATGACCCCGGTGGAGCAGAATCTGGCAGCTGAAGAAACGAATTTGCTGAGCTGTCTGTCTCCACAAAGCACGCTGGGTTTCAGGGCACAGCGCATTGGCTATGGAGAGGAGAACGTGCATTTGCAGAATGCTCTCTTGCAGTCAATGCAAGATCAGCAGATGGGGGAACTTGTCAGATTTCATGCGGAATGAGACTTGCAGCGGAAGGCCCCCCTTTTTCTCCGGGGTTGGTCTCACATCATTGGGTACCACTATATGACCTGCAGGAGCCAGATTCCGCGGACGCTTCCGAAGGACGGATGGAAATTACCTGTTCCAGAGCGATCGGGGCGGACCAGCGGACTGTACAGTGACTTTTCTTTTTCTTTGGTGTGGTCAAGGAAGTCTGTGATTTATGTCGTTGAGGAAGGATGCAAGTTCGACACAGCAAATATACGACACTGTTATGTTGTCCACGAGCCATTGCCATTGCGAGACCTCGCATATGAGAACTATTGCCACAAGGAGCGACAATAGCCTACGATTGTACTATACCTCCTTTAGCAAGAGGAAATCAGTGCGTTGGGCAATAGAAAGCTGCCAGATGTGAGCAAGATGCGATTTGCTTGGCAGAGAGAGCGGTTCTAGACTTCCGCTTCCGTTTCAGCTTCACATGCATTCATTCGTTCATTCCTCCTTTCTCGTTCGAACAATGAATCAGCGTGATGGAAGCCATTTTCATCCTCTGGATGGCCTTTGCCATGCGTAATGGTCCTCACTAACCTCTATTCTCCACCCACGAAGTGCCATCGTCTCCATTCCACCCTTCCTTCCTCGGAATGGGCTGTGCTGTGCGCTGGCAAAAAAAGCTCATATTAGTCTGGGGATTTCAATCTCCGCGAAGAGTTTCTCCGGTTCAAACCCATCGACAAGCGCTGGCCTTGGCTGAGAACATGGGCCAAAAACGCAGTGGAGGCTTTAGCCAGGGTTGCCAACGCAACTACATGGGTGGAAGTGCAGTTAAATTTGGGCTGTGACAACCCGGGGATGGCACTAAGACATGTCAAACAGATTTCAAGCCCCGAGATTCAAACACCTCCTCGCACAAATGCACCAGGTTGACGGACAACGGCTCCCGCTTTCCCCTTGATCAATCCTTCGACCTCCAGCCTGTTCATGCTTCGGTGGCGTCACGGTACAGCCAGACCTTAGCCGACAGGAGCTAGTGCATCTACACGGAGCAAAGGACAAAGCGGAGAGAAACTCTAAAGGCACAATCAAAAGCCACCTTCTCTTTCTCAGCTTGGGGGCGAACAAGCAGAACTTCTTCTCTCTTCCTCCATTAGCACACTCTACAGCGCCATCCCCTGCATCGATTGACGAACTTACAAGCTCGGCATCTTGAGCACCGATCCGATCGAAACCCCGAAAGATCATGTCGTGAAGACTGTTGCCTTTCCGGTTTCAGCCCGATGTTCCAATCGTCTCGAGGCGATTCCCGCCACTCTCAGCTCCACAAGGTAGCCCAGTACTGGCTCGCTTGAGCTGGACCTGGCCTCATTTGACTAGTAAGATATGCTCACATGCCGCAGGACAGGCCTCAAATCTGGGTTTCCATTTTATGGAGGTGAGATGTCAATCTGCTTGGCCAGGATAGGCAGTTGCAGAGGGTGTGATCGAGGTGGCCCATCTGCAATGGTCAACGATCCACCGACTTCTTTGCCACCCCGTCAATGGTGGAAGAATACAGCGGACTGAGAGGCGGGTAGTTGGATATGGGGTTGGAAATGTCAACTCTCATTTCTGTGCCAACCCGAGGGCTGAAAGACACGAGTACGAGCCGTTAGGGTTTCCAGCCCCGTCCATAACCGGGTAAGAGCTCGTTTCAACACATATCTGCACGGGCACAAGGCCAATCCTTGAGCAAAAGTTTTCCAGTGCCAA